GCTGCAGGACCACGGCTTCTCGGTGAACTTTCCAAAGAGCCATCTAACCCCAACTACGAGAATACTCCACCTGGGAGCGGTCATAGACACAAAGGAATGCAAGGTGTACCTATCACAGGAACGCCTCAGCAGCATAAAGAAAGCCGTAAAACAGGTAAGCCGCGGTCAGTCAGTGACGCTGGTCTGCCTCTCCCAGCTGCTAGGGAAGATGATATCGACCATAGCAATAGTTCCTTGGGCAAGGCTGCACTCAAGAGAACTGCAATGGTTCATGCTCCCGTTTCAGAGACAACAAATCAGTGCATCCCGGAAGAGGGTAGGCATACCTCTGAGAGTACGACACTCCCTCAGGTGGTGGCTATCTCCAGCTCTCCTCAGGGGGTCCCCCTTCAGGGAACCAGACAGAGTAGTAGTCACAACAGATGCGAGCTTATTCGGCTGGGGAGGCCACTTGGGGACCAAGTGGACACAGGGCCGCTGGTCAGCGGTGGATCTCCGACACAACATAAACTGGCTCGAGCTGCGGGCTATTCACCTAGCGTTAAGGCATTTTCACAGCAGCATAAAAGGCAGGCACGTACTGGTCCTGACGGACAACGTGACAGCCAAGGCCCACATAAACCGTCAGGGGGGCACACACTCTCGCTCGCTCTCGGCCGAGGCCCTCCTACTGGGGGCCTGGGCGGAACAAAATCTGGCCTCCATAAAGGCCGACCACATATCGGGGGAGGCAAACATCCAAGCAGATCTGTTGAGCAGATCAACAATAGATCACTCGGAGTGGCAACTACACCCGAGGATCTTCAGGGAGGTCTGTCACCGCTTCGGGCTTCCCCAGGTGGACCTTTTTGCCTCTCCTTCCAATGCCCACCTAACTCGCTTCTTCTCCCGATTCCCATCCAAGGGAGCAGAGCAGACGGACGCGTTACGGAGCCCATGGCCAAGGGGGCTCCTGTACGCGTTTCCACCCTTACCTCTCCTTCCGGCGGTAGTACGCAAGATTCTGCGGGAAAGGGCCGAGGTAATCCTTGTGGCCCCTTATTGGCCAAGGAGACCTTGGTTCGCAGACTTGAGGAGTCTCTCCCGCACGAATCCATGGCGGATTCCTCCGGAGAGGATCTCCCTCAAGCAGGGGGAGATCTCCCACCCAGAGCCACAATGGCTACAACTAGCCGTCTGGCTCTTGAACGGTCAATTTTAGCCAAGGGGGCTTGCTCACAGGGTGTAATTAGGGTCATACAGGCATCAAGGCGCCCCTCCACGAACCGTATCTACGAGGCCACGTGGAGAAGCTTCCAATCATGGTGCTCTAAACAGGAATTGTTACTCGAAGGGATCACAATTCCCAAGATCCTAGAATTTTTACTAGATGGCCTAGAGAGGGACCTCTCGCCAAACACACTGCGCAGGCAAATCGCCGCCCTCTCAACTATACTTTCTGCCAGCCCCGGTGAATCCTTGGGCAAGCATCCCTTAATACGATCCTTCCTCAAGGGGGCTGCAAACATCAGACCGCCAACCGTGCACAGGTATCCATCGTGGGAACTACCACGAGTACTACAAGCTCTTACCAGAGCGCCCTTCGAACCACTCAAAACATGTGACATTCGCTATCTGACCCATAAGGTAGCATTCTTGGTAGCCATCACGTCAGCTCGGCGGATATCCGAGTTAGCTTCTCTCTCAATGAGGAAGGACCTGTGCCATTTTCACAGGGACAAGGTAGTCCTAAGAATAGACCCTTCATTCATTCCAAAGGTCAACTCCCTTTTTCACAGATCACAGGAAATAGTCCTACCAGACTTCTGTCCAAACCCAGCTCATCCCCTGGAACAACAATGGCACACCTTGGACGTACGCAGGGCACTAAGACATTACATTTCACGCACAGCGGAATTCCGACGCTCGGAAGCGCTTTTCATATCCTTCCACCCTGCTACTAGGGGCCGGAAGGTCTCGTCCTCTACCATCGGTAGGTGGATTAGGGCATGCATCACGGGGGCATACCAGGCGGAGTCCTTGCAAGTCCCCAAGCATATCACAGCCCATTCCACAAGGAGTGCTGCCACCTCAGCAGCATGGGCCATGCAGGCTTCTATTGAAGAGGTATGCAGGGCAGCCACTTGGGCCTCGCCCTCTCCATTCATTCGTCATTACAAAATCGACAGGTACTCCTCTGCAGAGGCCTCCTTCGGTAGGAGGGTTCTCCAGCAGGTGCTAGACCAAAGTTGCACACGGGACCAGTCTATTCCCCAACCCAAGGGACAATAGGCTTTGGTATGTCCCACTGCGTGGATTATCCATCTCCAGTGCTGGAGAAGGGGCGTTGACTTACCTGAACGCCTTTTCTCAGCACGGAGATGGATAATCCACACCCACCCTTATAGACTAGAATAATAGGGTATATTTAGTGGAGCCAAAACGTCTTACTGTCAGTCAATGGCTGCGCTCGAGTCAAGACTAAAGGATCATGGTCCAAGACGGGGCGTGGCAACTTTGGCTGACTGATCTGATTGGCCAGGAATACAGTCTCAACCCACTGCGTGGATTATCCATCTCCGTGCTGAGAAAAGGCGTTCAGGTAAGTCAACGCCCCTTTTCTATCCAAGGCAGAAAAAGGCAAAGGGAGGAAACACATTGCCAAATTTCTTTGAGCAAATACTCCAAACTAAACAAATTTCAGTGGAATTAGGAGAACTTTATTTTCTGCTACATATCTGTAGCAATGGTGCTTGCTGAGGTTGTGCAGCTGTTATCCTTGGCATTTCCCCTAATGCAGTAGACACAAAACACATGAACTGAAATGCTTACAGTGTACAAATTAAAAGCTGTGGCAAATGTTCATTTGTGATGTGCAAACATGATTCTCTGCAGCGTATCTTGCCAACTAAGTATATTTAGGAAATGGATAGCTTCCCATCCTGCTTATAGCATCTTCATGGACATTTGAGGAATCAATCATATTTCAAAGATCTGACTGATATAATGCAACAGAATTTAAGGAATATAATGTGGATTAGATTTATTATTTTAATCTAGACTTACTAGTTCTTGGAAATGTTTAAGACAGTTTGTCAGATGTCCAGCAATTTGAATTCAAAGCACAAAACGATTTGGAGCATGGGTGGGTATACCCACAACATTTCTCAGAAATTTCTTAAACCATATGTGTTTTTTTCTGGGGATTCTAGGTGAGTTGAAGAGGGAGCTTGTGCAAACCCAGATAAAAAGTTACAGCTGCCAAAGCCTGTTACGTACTTCACCTTATATTTTGCCCTTCAAATTAAGAACTCTTAACAGCTCTGCTATGTGTATCATCTTGTATTAGTCATAGATCTGATTTATATAAAGGACCAAGTTTATTTACCTTTGGTTTCCGTGGTTTAGAGTTGTGTGCTATGTAACCTTAGCCACTGTGGTTTTAAAATTATGGTGTATAGTTTAGTATAATCTGTATAATTCCTAGTTTTTGTATCTTCTTCCAGAAAATTATCATTTAAAACTGGATTATAGAATGTGTGAATGCAACCATTGCTTCGTAACTGATTTTTCTTCTTGAAAACAAAATGTCAGATAAGAAAACCAATAGGTCACAGTCTGAGGAAATATAATATATTGTATATTTTTCCTCTTGGTTAATATATTTCAGTTCCTTGAGATTGTGTTGCATATATAAATGAACATGAACATTACTTGGTCTGTTTTTAGCAGGTGTTAATTTAAAAAGTCATGAGATAACAATATTAGCTTAAAGCATTATTTTATCTAAAATATATAGCACTACTTTATTACAAAGCATATAGCTGGATTTTTCATTTTGTCACATGTACTAAAGTCTACATAAGGAGTTCAGGGTTTAGAATTTTTTTCCTCCTTTGATCTCACAGAAAACAGTGCCCAAATTACATTTTAATTGAGTTTCAGTCTTTTAATTTCATCTGAATTTTAATCACATGATCATGGGGATGCTGCAGAGGGCGTGACTGTGAAAAATGGTCAGAAGTTCAATTTTTCAATGCCATTGTAACTTTGAACAAATTGTTGTAAGTCAAGGACTACCTGTATTTATTTTAGATTGAAGATTTAGACTTAGACATGTAACATGGCATACAAAATGTAGAAAAGATACAGGTATCTGTATCTTGGATATTGGTCGCTAAACACTGCAGTTGTTAAGACTTGATTTTTAGAACGGTTGTTAAGCGACTAAGGTGATGATTAAGTGAATCCAGCTTCTTGAATTGACTTTTCTTGTCAGAAGCGAGTTGAGAAGGTTGCAATCACACGACCACAAGGTACTGCAGCTGTTGTAAATATGAGCTGGTTACCAGGTGTCCAAATTACAACCACAGGGGTGGCACAACAGTCATAACTTCAAGGACAGGTCTTAAGTTACTTTTTCCAAGGCCATTGTAACTTTGAAATGTAGTTAAATGGTTATAAGTCAACAAGTACCTGTAGCAATGTAAGCATATTCAGAAGATCTTTTTGATGGACCATTGTTTAGGCTGTAGCATTTTCTAGTAATGCTGTTCTGGCATTGCAGCTTGATTGTTAGCTTTTTAAATCAGAATTTAAAACCATATATTATATTTCAGTCCAATTACTTTAAAATGGAAGGAAAATATTCTCACTCCATCCTCAGTGAAGCTGGAGGAGGACAATGGTGCAAGTGTGAATTCAAGGTCCTTGTACTCTTATTTCATCTGAACTAGGAAAGTGTTATTTTCCTGGTGTCTTTCTTTCTCTTTGCTTATAAGTTTCAGCTTGCATAATATTGTTGTAGGTTGTAAGTGTCAGAACTACATTTCTCTCTGGCACTGATGCAATGTTTCTTATTTAATCTGAAATTAGCCCCGCTTCGTGGCAACCACTATTTATCTAAAATGCACCTATTGAGATCAAATGCACTTGATCTCAATAGATAGCTGGTAGAATCTGAACTGTGCAGGTTATTGTATTTACAAATCTGTAAAAGTATATTATTTAATTTTGTTTAGGAATATGAAGCACGGATAGGAAAATTGTGTAAACCTGCACCCCAAGCAACAAGGCGTAGACACTTTGAGTTTGAGCCACTTTCAACCACTGCTCTTATTCTGGAGGATCGACCATCGTAAGTCCCTGTGAATTCTTTTTACAAGTGTTTCAGTGTCAGATCAAAAAGTAAGCTAAGATAGGGACTCAGGTAAATTATTCTTGAATTGTAGCACACAGTGCCTCCCCTTTCCCAAAATAATAAAACTTAATTTTTTGTGAATATAATACAAAAATATATGCAGTGGGAATAATTATATGCTTACCTACATACATATATACTTAAAACAAAGGCATTCCATAGTTGTTCACATTAGGGAAACTAAAACTTACCTTAATAGGAACTGCAAAAAATGTATCTTAACTTTAATAAGTATCAATTGAAAAAAAACATTCTTTAGCTAACCATCATGTTCTAGTTGAGTACAATCTAATATTGCTTTACTTTTATGCTTAAACCATTTAAAAATCTAAATGGGTACAACTTTACCACCTAAGAATTAGGCTTTAATGTTAGCATGTATCTGAGGAACTATACTTTGTACAATTGACACGCTACTGAAAATAATCCTAAAACAATTGGTAATGCTTTCTTTGGAACTCTGATTTTGAAACAAAGCTTTGAAATACAGAGCTAAGATTAAATAATAAAACCTGCATTTTTATCACTTTAAAATAAATAGTGTCTACTCTGCATGGAGTCAATAATTCAAATTGATTTGCTGAAGTAACTTGTGCTCACTTATTTTGAATTTATTCAGAACATTTACATGTCGAAGATCTATATGTTAAGGATTCAGAATGTTTGATTTTTTTGTATCTATCAAGAGTCCTTTTGGCTGATGTCAAGTGAGAAGGTTAGACTACTTGGGTGGATAAAGAAGTAAACAATCAAAGGTTTATAAAATAACAATGAAGCATGAAACTGCTAGTAAGAATAGAAGTAGACATTCAGATGCTTTATACCTTGCTCTTTCAGTATTAATGCTGGTAACATATTTGGAAAGATTTTTGTTAAGGACCAAAGCATGCAAATTTGCAGCTGTCTCTTTTCATGAGGCAAGTACTACTACTTGTCCACATATGTAATGCTATCACATCTCTTGTCCTCATGGAGAGTTTTTTTTTAAATCCTCTAATCAGTTTTCTCTCTCAATTTTTTCCTGTCTCTAATTAGAATAGCAACAGAACACTTTCTAAAGTCCTTGAATATTTCTTTTAAGTTTGGGTTGGGAGGATATTATGACTTCAGGGAAGGAGTAAATTATTTGAGTGATTGGAGTAGGAGTTAGATGAAAAGCAACTTATTGGAGCTGCAGGGCTTGAGTAGTGAATTATTTTATACAAGGAAGGAGGAAAGGATGTCAGAATGGATAATATAAAGTTTGTGTGGAAAAGGTATGGCCCTATTTTTTGAATGCTTTGGAATAGGCTCAGTTCTCAAATATAGATGTATAGCTGAATAATGAAAACAGTGATGTTGCCTAGTACACTGGAGACTAATTATATCGCAGTGGTCTATTCCTTTGGGTTTCATGATACCATTATCTTTTTGGTCTTATTTCTGCACATACCTGCACTGGTATGTTTTTCCCACGTTGGAACTGATGATAGGATATAGTTATACTTTAAACAATTTTCACACTCTTATTCAGTAATTTCAGGTCTCTTTCAGAGAGAGCAATTATAATCCCATATCATTTCAGATTACCCTTCAAATATCCTTGGTCCAAATTTGTCAGAGAACAAATTGGTTTGATGTACACCTTGCATTGAATCTAGAAACTAGATTTTTAGCATAAGACCAATTAGTCCAAACTATAATTTGTTCCATTATTTGTAATTAGACTTGCTCCTAAAACATTAGTTATACGCTCTTAGGTAAATTATTGGTGACAATCTGTAAAATGAAGGATCTGTAATACCATTCTAGCATTCCTTTTTTAATATATGGAACATTTAACAAGACTTTAATTTGATTAATCTATATAGTACTTAAAATTCTTTTCAGGAACCTTCCCGCAAAATCTACGGAGGAGGCTTTACGTCACAGACAAGAATATGATGAAATGGTGGCAGAAGCAAAAAAGAGAGGTATGCCTGAGCTAATAATATTTAGTCCATTATGTACTTTATCAGATTTAACCAAACTTTAAAAACTGGCTTGTTACAGAGGCACTATCCTATTTATATTCTTTGGATAAAGTTAAAACAACATTCTTTCAAGTCTTCTGGATTATTTTTACTACTTCAGGACCACGTGTATGCCACAAAGGAGAATTTATAAACCAGAAAATTTAGTTTCCATGATTAATTGATTGTATCATATTTAAAACTGAAACTGAATTATAATTACTCATTAGTGAATATGAACATTCATAAACTAAGATATAGGTAAAGCTTTTTAAAACACATGTTTTCTAATATATGCACACATGGACACAATATATCATTATTTATTTGTATCCTGTCTTTATTATTTTTACAAATAACTCAAGACAGCGAACATATCCAGTACACCTTCTTCCTATTTTCCCCACAACAACAACTCTATGTGATGACCTTGTTGGCCCAAGGTCATGCAAATAAAGAGATAAATCATATCTGTTTGCAGACTATGCTGAGAAATTTTGTAGCATGACTTTCTAGATGGTTTTATAAATTTATATACACACACACACACAACACATTGAACAAATAAAATGTGCAGTGTATGAATACGGACATGAATATGGACTTGAAAAAGTCCACTTTTTTCTATCCACAGTAATCTTTCTCAGACTAGCATTCAGTAGATCTTTTCTGAAGCCAAAAAGCAGCCATCTCCTTCCAATGAGTAAACCATATTTATATCTTTTGCAGTGTGCATTGTTTGTATAACCTGAAATTTTTATGTTGTTTGATGCACTGTAAATGTAAATATTAAATTACTTCATGGTTTGATCTTTAACCCTCTTTGTCAAGCTGATCATCTTTGATGACAAACCAGAGGTCCTATTTAACAGCCACCCACACATGCACACGCGTGCGTGCGCGCGCACACACACACACACACACACAGAGAGAGAGAGAACGTTATATACATGAAAGAGATTGTTTGTTGTACATGCTTCCTAGAACCGCTCAGACTCATTTGGCTGAAATGGAAAGACTATAAAATTGAATGAATGAATGAATGAATGATTTTTTTCTAGCAACAAGATGTTTGCTATTTGAAAGAAGCACAAACTGTCGTACAAAATATAGCACATTAGGCACATGCTATTATGTTAAACACCTATAATTAGTGTTTCCAGTATTTCAGTCCCAAGTATGCTACTAAACCAGATTCATGCCATTCCTTATTTCAGTGGGATTGATCTGTTGGAAATTATACTGTAATTTAATCATACAGAGAACTCTTATTTTTAATATCATAAGTATTTCAACAATTGTAAAACAGAATATAAAACAACTAATGTAGATTGCCACATATTTTCAGGGTAAGGTAGAAGCTTCCAAGATTGCGATCATTCAGTTTCATCTCTATATTTAAATACAGTTGTGGTTCAGAGTATAGTAAATATTCTGATGTGTCAGGAAACGAATTATTTTTTAATGTACTTTTGAGGGCCTTTTTAAGATTCTGAGAGACCCAGAGCCAGCATTTTATTTTGATTTTCCATTTTTTTGTTCATTGAAGTCATGGCTACAAGAATATAGGAAACTATTCAAATAATTGAAATAATTTCCATTATATTTTAACAGATTATTTTTTTCTGATTTTAAGAAATAATACGGATTCACTCATTTTGAAATAGTAAATTAAGTTACAGATGAGGGATGGGGACCCCACCATTGCTGGAACCTATGGCAGTTGTCCCATTCTTTAAAAATCATTAGATCTTTTCTTCCGTGCTTTTTCTCCTTTTGCATCCCTGTACTTATATACAATTATTTAGTTAGGGCAGTGCCTCATGATATGAAGTAGATTCTAATCTAATCTAAGAAAACTTATTTTAAATAAAAACAGTATTGCTGTCCAGGGGCACCAGTGCACCCATAGCAGTTTTCCTTGACATCTGCCAGACTCTGTGTCTTGATGCGTAAAAAATTGACATTCAGAATCTACTACGACTATGTAGATTTTCACAGTCACAAAATGTTGACTGTAAGATATGGGTAAAACACTTCATCCTTAGAAATGTAACATTCTTGGAAATGTTCTCAATTTCTTCCAGATCATGCCACCTGACCATTCCAGCTGTTATAGGGCTATTTTCCTCCCCCCCCCCCAGTAAATCTTCCAAAATAAGGAAGTGATTTATGGTGCTCTAAATCTACTTCTAAAAAACACCTGGAAACTCTTGGAACTGCCCAGTAGAAAAAAACGTAACATTTTAGAATTCCTCAGAATGTTCCTTTTCTGGAGATGGAACGGTTTGCACATACCTCTTTACTTTTTCTGATATTGAAAAAAGAGCTACAACAATGTAACAAATTCATTCATTCCTGTAATTAGAATTATCTCTGCTAAGACTTGCTTTACATAGCAGGTATATATTTTATAAGCATTTATATTTAAGGGGCCCATATCCTTTAATTATCTAATATTTGTTTTAAACATGGCTTTTTGACGTCACGTTGCAAATAAAATTCTGAATTTAATAGAAATTAAAGAAGCTCACCGAAGAAAGAAAATAATGAAAGAACGCTTCAAACAAGAGGAGAATATTGCTAGTGCTATGGTGATTTGGGTCAATGAAATTCTGCCTAATTGGGAGAGCATGTAAGTGTAGAATACTTGGTAATACAAGTGATTTCCTTGTGTTCCTGCATGTTTTCCTTTCTGTTCTCAGCTGTACTTTTAATTCATCATAACATAGAATTTCTTTCTCTTGTATCCGCTATTTTATTTTTTTAATTCAAAGAGCACATATTAAGAGAGCAGTGGATGCTGATTTATAAGGATCAGGCAATACACTTGCAGGAAGCACTGCTGGCAAATTCCAATAAGATCTCTGGTTTCTCACGTGAAGCTAAAGTTTACTGCTATATTTGTTTCTACAATATTTCTAATAGTACGCAAACAATTACATTTACACTCCTTTTATTTCTGTGTGTTTATAGGCGTTCTACAAGGCGAGTGCGAGAATTATGGTGGCAAGGATTACCTCCAAGTGTTCGGGGAAAGGTTTGGAGTCTTGCTGTAGGAAATGAATTGAATATCACTCCTGGTATGTTTGAAGCATATAATAGTTTCAAGTGATATTCTGCAACATAGCTCAACCTTTGGTTGTCTTGAGTGTATGATGGTGTCCATTTTGCCCAGGAATTAATTGCATTATTAGCTGTCACACTTCAGTATCCTAGTGCTTCCCTTATAAATGATGAGATTATGCAGCACTCAAATCCCTGTCTTAAACTGAAACCCTTTCTTTAAAAGATAATCAATAGGGCTGAATGAAAAAAAAAACCAAGAGTTTTTTTTAACTATTCTACAAGTTAAACTTACATGGTGCTGACTAACATTTCTTATGATATACACTTAGCTAGTAATAATCTATAATACTTTAAATTTTAGCTCTAAACAACTTAGAAATAATGCAATATTAATATAGGTGTGAATTCATTCATTGTGAAAATTAGCAAATTAATTTTCTTTTTAGTTTGAATGGTTAATTTCAGAACAGATTTTCAAAGATTTTGCTAAAATCAGTATATTAGTGCTGCTTCCCACTGTTTCTGAGTTAGGATGTTGCTGACCTAATCAATATCATTGTAATTAAGAAAATGTAGACATATTTTCTCCAGGAGGAGGAAACGACTAAAAGGCCATTAAATGGTTTCTCTCTCTCTCTCTCTCTCTCTCTCTCTCTCTCTCTCTCTCTCTCTCTCTCTCTCTCTCTCTCTCTGTGTGTGTGTGTGTGTGTGTGAGAGAGAGAGAGAGGGGGGGGGGGAAGCTTCTTTTCAGTGGCTGCAATTGTGATTCAGTGACTAGGGAGGTGATGACCAGATTGTTTGAGCCAAATAATGATAATCAACAGTTTCTCATCAAACTTTAATTAGGTGTCAAATGGTATACCATTGAATTAGATCCTGGACTTTCTACTCTTCATTTTTATTAATGACTTAGATATATTACATTTGCAGTTAGCACAAAACTTGATGGTAAAAGTTAATACTGTAGCTCACAAGAGCAAAATTCAAATTGTTCTTGACTGATTAGAAAGATGAATTAGAAGTAACAGAATAATATCTAATGGAGATAGATGCAAAGTTTTCTAGTTAGGAAAAAGAATCGAATGCACAAGAAATGAGGATTATCTGGCATGATAAATGAGAACAGAATATTTGAATTGTAGTTGATTGTAAAGTGAATGTGAATCAGCAATCTAACAATGCTTCTAAGAAGGCAAATTCAGTTTTAGGGTCTACAAATCAACTTTCCAAATCATGGGAAGCAATAATTCAATTTAGTTTGGATTATTCAGCCCTTTCTGTTGGCACAAGTAGGATAGGCTTGTCCTAGCAGGACAAGATGATTCATCAGCTTGCCTGGACCTGTGCCATTAAAGGCTTTAATGGTCATAACCAACACCTTGAACCGCATTTGGAAGCAGACCAGTAGCCAGTGAAGTTCACTAAGCAGAAGTGTAATATGTGTCGGGTGCAAGAAACTAGGAACCAAGGTTGTTTAAATGAGTACAACTTTATGTCATGCTAGCGCTCTTTAATCTGAACTAGTAAAAACTAAGGCAAATTGGCAGATTTGAGTCAATGGAATTGGCAGAAAAGAGTCAATGGAATTCAAGGAGGGCTGGACCTAGATTCTGAATGACATACTTGACTCCTCCCTTGGGCTCAGTCTCATCATCCCGTTTGTCACAGGCCATCCTAGGGCCCCTGAAGACTGCTCTCACTGCAACACTTGGTACCAGCTGAAGCTTCTGAATGAACGTCAAGGGTAGCCTCCTGTAAGGCATATTGCAGTAGTCCAGGCGAAAAATGACCAGGACTTGAGTAACTGAACGCAGAGAGTCATGATCCAAGAAAGGTCGCAAGTGGTTCACAAACCGGAGCTATGCAAAAGCTCTCCTGAGTCATGCCTGCCACCTGCTCTTCGAGCAGGAGATGCGAGTTTCCCAGCACAGAACTTCCAAGAGACAATTGTGTGTTTCCTACTTATTTAAAGGGAAAGTCAGAGAGGAGGTTGCGAACTAGGTCTGAATGGGATAGTGCAACCACTGTCTCAGCATGAGGTCCTCGCTTAACAACTGCAACTAGGACTACTGGAACTGCCATCGCTAAGTGGTACAATCATGACATATTGTCATCACTTTGCTAGGGTAGAAGTATCAGCCCTAATAGCTAAGCAAGGCCCACTTGTGCATATATGCATTATTCATAGTAACTAAAGCTTGTATTTATCACTTTGTATTTTCTCTTTTTATCCTTTGGTGAGTAGAGCTTGAATCTAATTATGAAGGTTACAAATTCCTAAATCATCAAACCGAGACTTCCACTAGTCAATTTATAGAAGTTCTGATCTTAAAAACCTATAAATTAATATTGAAATAGAAATCACATTCAATTTGCAAAATGATAAATTTGATTTTTGGCTATATTTTGCTCTGTTTTGCAGAACTCTATGAAATCTTCTTATCTAGAGCCAAGGAACGATGGAAGATTTTTGGAGAGACAGGGACTGAAAATGATACCGAAGGTATTTTGAAATGGTACCAATAGCTGCTCTTATCATTTCACAATACATAATGTACTGTTTGTAGTGTTTATTATAGTGCAAAGCCACTTCCAGGGATTTTAACAATATAATTTCCTAGCACAGAACTTTTAGCAGACAAAATTGTGTGTTTCCTACTTACTTAAAGAGAAAGTCAAAGAGGAAAATTCTAGAAATATTATGTAGAGGATCTATTCTCTGTAGTAGTTCAATTCTCAATAATCAGTGTTATGTGAAATTTCTGGATCCGTTCAACCCTGTGTTAGACGATCTTCGTTTTATATTACAACTTCATAGCTATGGTTATAAGCTTCATAATGCCCTTTCTTCTCAAATAACAGCCTGACTAACTTAGTAAGATTCTGGTTTTATAAGTCATGCAAAGTTCACTTTTTATGCCCAGTTGGTTTTGCTTCTTATTTTTTTTGGCTGTTACAAAATTGAGGGAAAAGATGATACGTTTTCGATACAAGATCCTAACTCTATCATCTGCTAAATGGCTGTATGGTATACATATCCCTAACACCCTTATGAATCCTAGTTACAGGTAGTCCTCATTCAGCAGCTATTCAAAGTTATTACAGTGCTGAATGAGGAAACTTGTGACAGGTCCTCATAGTAGCAGCATTCCTGAAGGTCACATGATAACAAGTCAGGTGCTTGGCAGCTGGCTTGCAATTAAAACATTGTAGCATCCTTTGCAGTCTTCACTGTTGGCTTCCAATGAGCAAAGTCAGTGGGGAAACCAGCAGGTCACAATGGCAATCATGATATTACTCCTAATGACCATGCAGGATAAATCTTAACAACAGCAACCGGAACTGCCATCATAAGTCAGTGCAGATGCATCACACTGCACTTTATAGTAGTGCATCCAGCAACAGAGTTCTTTGTCCCAATTAGCCATTGGTAATTGAGGATCACCTGTACATATCTTCCAAAACCAGTGCCAGGGTAGGAAAATTAAGTGTGCTGTTATGGAAACCTCATAATGAATAGTGCGTATATTTAGTGTAGGGAGAAGACTCCATATAAAGAAGCAACAGAGCTGAATCATAACTTACTTTGCAGAAAAAAGATGTTTTAATTAATTAATTAATTAATTAATTAAAATAAAATGCCTCCCTAGTCTCACACTAAAGGCTCATCTAGAGAAAGAAGGAAGAGCGGGGAATGGTCAAGAAGGGATAAGAGATAGACGAAACAACAAAAATATAAAAAGAATGAGAGATAAACACAGGGGGGAAAAATTGAGCCAAAAATTCAGATAGCGAAAATGTGAAAATGTGTATAGTGCAGCATTTAACAAATGCAAGAATGTAGATTCATAAGAACATGAATGAAGCTAGGAGTTCAGGTCTGCTGTTGGAAAATACACCTAATTTACTGTTACAAAAATATTGACAAAGTGTTAGTTTAAAAATATTTTCACACAAGCAAAAAAGTAAAAAAAAAAAAAAAAAAAAAAAGGCTCCCTTCAGGTACAAAGCAAAAATGGCTAAATTGAGTATTTAATTCTAGATGGGACACAAAAGATTCAGGGTGTTGCTTTTGTCAACAGATGAGAGGCAAGCTTGTTGTCCTAACTAAATTATGTTCTGGAGAAGTTTGAATAAGCAAGTCCATGATTTATTGAGCCTCCTGAAATTCAGGTTTCGGACAGTGTTCTTTGTGTTAGTAAAGAATAATCGCTGCTGATTGTAGAATGGGAAGAATAGAGTCACACAAAATAGAGGTTGGGAGGAAGGGTGAAAATGGGAGAACTCTGATAAATACCATTCCCCTCTTAGTAAAATTGTATTTTGTTGTTGAAATCATTTTATTCTGTACAATGATACGTCAATCATTACTGAAGTTTAAAGTAGATATAACATAACAGAAATATTGAAACAGTTGAAATGCTGTGAATGCTTTTACTTGAATGTTGAAGTAGATTGTGAAAAAATTGCTGCCCAGTTCCATCTTTAGTTTTTTAAATGGAATACAGGAACTTGTGACCAATCACTTAGTGATTAAAATTACAAACAGATGTCTCCCTGGGTATAGTTATGACCTGGATTTTAAATTTTGACAGTTGGGGGGGGGAGGGAGAAAGAGGAGAGACTGCAGTCATGTGACCACTTTGGACCCTGGGCAACTGGCCACATTTATGCCTGTTAGCAGCGTCCCAGTCACATGACTGTGTTTTACAATTGATTTGCTGAAAACTAGCATGAATCTCCAGTTTTTGGCAAAACCACAACTATAGTGAACCATTGATTTGTTTAACAACCATGGGGATTCACTTAATGACCACTGTTAAAAATATTGTAAAAATTGATTGATCATGTGAGTGACCCAATTTGTGATTGTTACAACTTGTAACTATGATGGCAGGAACCATTATGTAACCCAAGGACTACCTGTATGTCTGTGATTGATTTAAGGAAACTTGCAAACTGTTTATCAAAGCGATATAATCTTACGAGGGTGAAGGTTTGTTCTCTGAGCTTGAGGGGTTGGTTTCCAAATGTTTTGTTACCATACTAGGTAACATCTTCAGCCAAGTTTAGGGAATGTCAGTGTCAGTGTTCTTCTGTTGATAAGGGCTTTATGTGGTCAGTAGGTCTTGTGATGGGTCAGGTGTGGGTGTATCAAGTGAGGGTCTTGTAAAACACACCCACACCTAACTCACCACAAGACCCATCATAAGAAGATGTTAACTAGCTTGGTAATGAAATGTTTGGAAATCAACCCACAACCTTGGAGAATGAACCTGCACCCTCATCCTACATCCAAGCTACAGATATTTGTCACTATTGCAAATATAATCTTCTATTACTGGGACTCAATCTACAGACATGTATAAATCTGCAGGTTTACTCTCTCTAGATGCTGGAGCATCACTTGCTGACCGAGAAGCTAGCTTGGAGTTAATAAAATTGGATATATCCCGCACATTTCCATCCCTTTATATTTTTCAGAAGGTAACATTTATTGATTGTGCTTTGAGATTAGACTGCTTTTAAAATAATGTTTGCTAAAAGCAAGAATTCTGTCCTTGGAAGACTTTTCTGTTATGGTTTAATGCAGTCGATAAGTTCCATCTCCATTAAGATGGGCTTAACAAGATAAAGATAGTTATAAAATCTGTACAATTTGCATATATTATAAACTCTCTTGCAAGCTAAAGTATGGCAGAAAGGTTGACGTTTGGATTTCTGTAGAATTGCAGCTGTTGTGTGTTGAGCTTTTTAAAAGCCTATACAACAAAAAGAACAACGTAAGCAAATTACAAATTGTTTGGGAACACAACATCTGTGTTGTATTCTTCAATCAAAATACACTTCAGGGGGATTTACATTTTCATTTTCAAAATTGTGTGAAGGAAAGAATTCAACCCCAGTGCGCACATGTTATAAAACCATTTTTAAAAGCATATTTCTCTTTTGTTTGTACATAATGTAGTGTTCTAGTACTGTTATTATGTCTCTCAAAATGTAGATACTACATACAGTTCCATCTCTTTATTACAGAGTAATAGATAAAATAGTAGGTTCCTCTGATTAATGTCTCCTTGTGAAATTGAAGCTGCTCAATGTTTTACAGTAGTGTTCCCCAACCTTGAAAACATTAAGTGTGTGGACTTCAGCTCAACACAATCCTTAGCAATGGTTGTTTTGTAATTGAAGTCCACACACCTTAAAGTGTGTCCTGCAACTAGTCTGGGAACAAGGCTGGCATATTTTGCTTAGGCAGAAGGTAGTTTTGAGCCTCAGTATTTCCCTTCATGTTCAGTCAACCTGCACTTGGAAACAAACATTTATCAATATGAAAGCTCATTTCCCCTCCCTGTTTAGATTACAGAATGCTAAAACATAACCTTTGGATTTGAAGCCTTCTTTATTTCATTGTTACTAAAATGTACCACATGACTGCATCACCCTTATTAAATTGCAGATTATTTCAATCATGTTTATTGCTTGTAATCATCATTGCCTTGTCCCTAAAATAGGTATGTCAGAAAAGAATGGACATATTAGATTTCCTCTTTTTAATAAAGCTGCTTTTTAAATGCAATAGCCTTCCAATGAAAATTATAATGATAAGAGAACAGATTATTGAATGTATTATCCCAGACCACTAGTTCTAATGACCTCATGTAATTCATAGTATTGATTACAATTGTAATCAATTGTACCTGGAGGCTACTAGGATTGAGCAGGTGGATAAATTCCCTGAATTAATGGGTAAATTAGCTCCATAGGGAATAAATTTTGTTACCACACAAAAGAATCCTTCTTCACATAGATGCTAATCACCAAGCTTCTGAACAATAGCTTTTTCAGACACGCCTTACCTATAATCAATTGCTCTGGTTAGCATCCTGATTACCACATTTATATTAATTGAAATTTTTGGACATTTTCGTGTAGAATATATTGTATTCATGGATCTGCCTAGGCAGGAATACAAGTTTTAGAAAATGGAGTGTCCTATCACAAAAGTGGACTATAAAACATTCCTATGTTTGTTCAGGTTGAAGCTAGTATGTTTTTTTCTTGAAAAATAACAGCTATTCAAGATCATTAATTCATATGCATAAGAATGGGTAGTCAGGTCTTATAAAGGGGAGCTTTTCGAAGTGATTTTAATGACATAAGTGCTGTGTGACAAAAAGTTGGTATTAAAAGTCACATAATATGTACAAATTTTAATTTATATTCTATCTATGCAGATTTTTTTCTGGATTTAAAATTACCTTTATCATATGTCTCCATTTTTAAATTTTAGTTTTTAACCTTTACTTTTTTGATCTACTGTTTCCATTTTAGGGTGGCCCTTATCATGACCTCTTGCACAGTGTCTTGGGAGCATATACATGTTACAGACCTGATGTAGGATACGTAAGTATTCATATAGTGTTGTCAATCTTTCAACAACAATGACAATAATAAAGAAGAATTGGAAAAGAAAGCAAAAGTAGTATCTATAATAATCAGTGTTCTTGATGCAATCCCAACATATCTGGAGCACAACTTGAATACCATGGCCATTGACAAAAATCACCCATCAGTCAGTTGCCAAAGGCAGGTTTACTTGGAACAGCTTACATCCTGTGACTATACTTTTAATGCCATCGAACAACATGTTCCTATCCCAAATCCCTGGGAAGGATTTGATAGGTGGATGAAAATGCCAAAACCGATCTAAACATTTGGCTAACTGTGCGACCAACTATAATAATGATAATAAGTTATTAAATTTGTATGCCTTCCAACTCTCAACAGCCCTGGGTTGTTTACAATAAAATCAAAGCTTTCTTAATTTATTATGTTAATATATTTGATTATTGATATGATTATAAATGTATGCTTTATAAAGTGAGTCAATTACCACAAACTTAGCCTTTTGACCCCAAAAGGGAAAAAGTGTTGTCCCACACTTAGTTTCCATAGTTTAAACTCAATTCCATTGCAATCTAGGGAATTTTGGGAGCTGAAGTCCACTCCCCTTAAAGTTGCTGAATTTGAGAAACTGGTGCAACTGTTCTACTGCAAGATATTTCATATCAAAAGGTGAACTTCCTAATGCTGTAACTCCTTATATATTTGCTAGGAATATAGAACAGATATCCCTAGCAAAAATAAATATCTCGAGATATCCAGAGATATCCTAGATATATTTAAAGATACTTCTCGGTAAACATGCACAGGATTGCATTAGTTTAGGGTGACACTTTCTCTAGACAAATGGAAAGTAGAAAGAAATTGCTGAGAATCATTGCATGTGTAGAATGTGTATTCATTCACCCACATATATTTTCTTTCCATTCTTCTATACTTGCTTAGAAACATTTGCAAATTTTAGCTATCTAAAGTAAAATATTGAGCATCTTTACCTCATAATGGACATTTTTTTCTATATCCATAATCACTGTTATTTTTAGACTTAATTATAATTCATCAAGTAAATTAATGGGAAAAAATAGCAAATCTGGTTCAGAATAAGGTGCCAGCTTATTTTCATAATTTGGTAATATCCTAGTTTTCAAAAATACTGTAGCATAAAAATGAGTCTTTTACTTAGTACACTCAAAACCTGTTTGTGTTTTAAAGGTCCAGGGAATGTCTTTCATTGCTGCGGTTCTCATACTTAATCTGGACGAGGCAGATGCTTTTATTGCCTTTGCAAACCTTTTGAACAAGCCATGCCAGCTAGCCTTTTTTCGTGTGGATCATAGCATGGTATGTGACCATATTAATACTTTATTTTCTTCTTACTGCCAATGTACATGTGGCAATAGCAATAGCACTTAAACTTATATATTGCTTCACAGTGCTTTACAGCCCTCTCTGAGCTCTTTACAGAGTCAGCCTATTGCCCCCAACAATCCGGGTCCTCATTTTATTGACCTCAGAAAGATGGAAATCTGAGTCAACCTTGAGCCGGTGAGACTCGAATTGCTGAACTGCAGGCAGTTGACAGTCAGCAGAATTAGCCTGCAATACTGCATTCTAACCATTGCGCCACCACGGCTCATGTAGATCAGGGGTTTTCAAACTTGGCCCTTTTATGACTTGTGGCTGGGAGTTGAAGTCCACAAGTCATAAAAGGGCCAAGTTTGAAGACCCCTGATGTACATGTTTCTATTGAAGTCAGTGGTATTCCTAGTCTTCTAAACCTCCAAGCTTTGTATACATCCTTATAGCTCACAGGTATTTGCACCTAAGGAACTGTACTAGCAGCAAATACATCAGTAGAATATGTTGTCCCTTTGCAGAATTGTTGTATTTTTCAGTATTTACACATTCTATTTTCAGTTCCTCCAGTTTTCTGTGATGTAATAGTAATCCCTGCAGTCTTTTGCTTTTTGGACAAAGAGACAGCAAGAAGAAAATAATACTCTGATTACTTACGCCTAGCAACACATGTCTTAGATACATCAGGGTTGGATTACTGTAAAATAAAAGTCCTCATTGGGTTACCTTTCAAAAACCTCTTCAGAAGCTGCAGTTCTTTGAGAATGTTGCTGCCAGGAAAATATGGGGCATATTCTTGCATTGTTGCACTAGCTGCCAATATGTTTGGTCCAGAATATTTAGTATTTCCTTCTATACCAGAAGCGGGAGGACTTGTGCCTTTCCAGTTGTTACTGATTTATATTTATGCTGGTGGGAATTCTGGGAGATGAAGTCGACACATCATAAAGTTGCCAAGGTTAAGATACACTGTCTTAGAACCTTTTCTGTCTACCTACCATATAGAGTGGAAATGGTGACACAATTGGAGCATTTTTGGTGTTTGCACCAGTATAGTGTGACATTGCATCTGGTGGCCTGGCCTTTGGTTATGTTTTGCCCTTAGCGAAGATAGTGTTGTTTCAATAGGTTTCATTTGATCTGTTGTGCTAAAGATAATTGTTGTGTGTTTTTATAATTTTACTGTATTTTAATGTAGTTCATGTTATACTGAGTTTAAATTATTTTAAGGATATGCACTTTTATGCAACCACATTATTGTACATTTTTATTGTTATTTTTTCCTCCCTAAAATATTTCAGTTTGTTTTTTAATTAAACTGTACACCTAATATGTGAGATTAAAGATGTAAAAAATTCTGAAGTGATTTATTTTGGTCTGATTTTTTTACAGCTCAAAAACTCGCAATTTTAATGGCCGTGTAGACTTTCTATATCTATATCCACTGTATCTATGAGCAGTGCTTGCTATTATCTGTATCAGTGTTTCTCAACCTTGCCAACTTTAAGATGTGGACTTCAACTTCCAGAATTCCCCAGAGAACAATTTTAAAGTTGCTAAGATTGAGAAACACTAGTCTACATTGCAAGGGTAATGGAAAGCTGGAATCATTAACCCTGAGTGTTTGAATATCAGCTAAATTATTTCTCAACTGCAGAATCTGTTGTACGGTAACCAAAATGTCACTTTAAATAAGGTATACCATTTAAATAAGGCATACTTTGTTCTGTAAACTGATATATAATTCTGCAGAAGTTTCAAAATTTGTGACATTTGGTATGATTTCCTGAATTATATATTTTTCTCCCTTACAGATGCTGAAGTACTTTGCAGCATTTGAAGTATTTTTTGAGGAAAACCTGCCTAAACTGTTTCATCATTTTAAATCCTATAATCTTACCCCCGACATATACTTGATAGATTGGTACGTTGGAAACTTAATGGTCACATCATACCCCAGTGATAAACTTTCAGGTGAAGTTAAATATAAGCCAAATTTTAACAGGCATTCTAGGATTCCTTGTGATTGTTTAAGGGTATCTGGTTAGGAGAACAGAAGTGACTGTAACATGTATGCGTAAAGCACAGAGGAATAAACAAGAGAATGGGATTTAATAGTAGATGATTTATAGAAGATTATCCCATGATTTTAACCTTTAATTCCTTATTAGAACAAAAATAGTTTTCTCCCTGGCCAAATAAAGTTGGTAAATATGAGAGAAGGAGAATAAACAATGGCATTTCACCTAACTAGCTTCAGAGCTAAATTTTGCCACTTAAAAAACATTCCCGGATTGAACACCTCAGAGAAAAATCTGCTTCTTTAATATTATGTGTTCACATTCTGCTGTCTCCATGAACTACTACTGTGGCATCAAATGCAGCAGGCAGGTTTTTTAAATGCAGTACTGAAATCTAGTCAATGGATACAGTGGTTTTTTATCTAAATATAACTACACATCCACTTATAAAATTGGCTTTTCTTTTTGGAGTCTTAGGGTCAGTATTGACTTTAAGCAACTGAACAAGTCCCTGCAGTTTTCTTGGCAAGATTTCAGAAGTAGTCTTCTTCCTCCTAGAGACTGACCCACAGTCACTCAGTTGGCTTTGTGCTGACGGCAGGACTAGAACAAACTATCTCCTGGTTTCTAGCCTGGTGTCTTAACTGCTACACCAAACTGGCTTTCTAATCTTCATATTACAGCTCTTCACTTGGAATGTTGGAGATACACTTGGAAGTGGAGAGATAGTTGTTGCAAATGAAATGTCTACTGGTGCTTCGTTCCTTAACCCAAGGCATGATTGCTTATCTAGATTAAATAATCACTGGTCGTACTAGAGCAGGGGTCTTCAAACTTGGCCCTTTTATGACTTGTGGACTTCAACTTCCAGAATTCCTCAGCCAGCGTGCCTGGCTGAGGAATTCTGGGAGTTGAAGTCTATAAGTCATAAAAGGACCAAGTTTGAAGACTCCTATACTAGAGGAATTAGAAGATGTGGTGTTTTGTCCTTATGTGCCTGATTCTTTTTAATTTCAAAATGCAGGATCTTCACCCTATACAGCAAGTCACTACCCCTTGATTTGGCCTGTCGAGTTTGGGATGTCTTTTGTAGAGATGGAGAAGAATTTTTGTTCAGAACTGGGTTAGGAATCCTTAGGTTATATGAAGATATTCTCCTGCAGATGGACTTTATTCATATAGCACAGTTTCTAACAAAGCTACCAGAAGATATCACGTCAGAGAAGCTCTTCTCATGCATTACATCTATTCAGATGCAGAATAGTAACAAGAAATGGGCTCAGGTAAGTACTAACTATATGTGGATGTTTAATTTTATCAGAAAGGAACTCTCAGTTTAAAAGAGAAGTGCAACCACAAGCAGAGTTAAAGATTAACCTTGTCCAGGAAAATAAGGCTTTACCTGTTGCTGAATGAAGGTGGTTACCTTAGGACAGTGATGGCGAACCTATGGCATGGGTGCCAGAGGTGGCACTCGGAGCCCTCTATGCGGGCACTCGTGCCGTCGCCCCAGTCCTAGGCCTTCATCTGGTTTTATAAAACCTTTTCGCTTTAGGCCTCCGCTGCCGTGTACCCAAAAAAAAAAGGTTCAATCAATCAGTCAATTTCAACTTCTCGTGGGGAAAAAAAAAGATCTTGCAAAATTGAAATTGATTGATTGAACTTTTTAGTCCCACCCACTGCTGTTACCACCGCAGCCACGCCCACCCAATGGGCCACACCCACCCGGCACCCGACGCTGCATAAGTGGGTTTTGGGTTGCAGTTAGGGCACTCGGTCTCTAAAAGGTTCGCCATCACTGCCTTAGGAATAGCATTCCTGCAGTGGACGCCACCACTATCAAAGCCTTGACCTCTCTAGCCACCTGCCGCATACAGGTAGTCTTGATGTAACAACTACAGCTTGGACCAGAATTTCTGTTGCTAAGCAGGGCAATTGTTAAGTGAGTCACGGCCAATTTTATGACTTTGTTTGCCATGGTTAAGTGAACCATGCAGTCATTAAGAGAATCCAGCTTCTCCCCTTGACTTCGCTTGTCAGGAGCCAATTGGGAAGGTCACACATGGTGATAACCTTGGCTTGCTGCAATCATTGTAAATACATACCAGTTTCCAGGTGCTCAAATTTTGATCACTTGTCTGTGGGAATGGTGTAGTGGTTGGAAGTGTGAGAACTGGTTGTAAGTAACTTTTTTTCAGTGCCATTGTAACTTTGAAGAGTTGCTAAATAACTGTTTGTAAGTCAAGGACAATCTGTACTAGATTGCAGGGATATCTGAAAAAGCATTTATTGAAAATATTGCCTATAGATAAGGAGAATTATTGAAACCATGAAGAACTTTGTTGATTAAAATCTGCACTTCGAGTTCAATTGCTATAGTTGAGGCAACAAGATTGTATATAGTCCCAGTTAATGTAACAGCTGTATTTTGGAAAACATTTTCTATATGTCACGTCACCTTAATTGGTGAAAGTAGGCTTTCGTTGTCCATATGTTATTCCATTCCGTAGAAAGAAGTGTGTAAGAGATTACTTGTGTCTTGGGTGATACAATGAACACTCACAGGCTGTGTACTTAAGGTAGGGGAACTGCAGTCCCAGATGAGAAGTGCCAATGAACCATCCCCCAATAGCCATTTGTGTAGATTGAGTTGATTGTTTCTATTGTTGGTTGATCTCTCATTTACAGAACCAGATGTAAAAACGATAGGAAAATTATCTCAAAATAGAGATAAAGAAATAAGTATCCATTCTCTACATCTCTGCTCTTAAGAGATTTTCTAACTAAATTTCAGAAATGTAACAAAGTACATGGTTGCATTTTTCTAAAGATATGCTATGATTGTGACAGTTCAGGGTACTGCTGATTATAAAGCTTCCTATAAGATTTAAGGAGTATACCCTAATATAAGCATAACCATACTGAATTTAATTGAAATTCTAATTTGAATATATTAGAGTTGGTTATGCTTATATTAGGGTATTATACCGTCCTTATATTACTGTAACTGTTGAAATCAGTGGGATTTGGGTCTTAAGTTACTCATGATAAACTGAATCGTAACTGACTTCATGTCTTACTGATTTCAATGACTTTAGTTCAATGACAAGTCTGAAACTTGTATATTTACAGTAACTATTGTATTGTGCATGTTTCTGCTAGAATTCAAGTGCTAAAATGTACCATTTTCACAGTGAGATGTTGACATGACTTTTGCCTGACAGCAAGAAGACTAAAAAGAATATGCCAAATGTTATTATGCTATAAATAATCTATATAGCATGTATATTTGCTAAGTTTTGCAAACTTTAGTTGTAAGATTTTTAAACTGTGGTGTGTGAGTTCCTTGATCTATGACGTAAAAGCTATTTGGCTCTCCACTTATAATGAATGATTATAGAACTGATATTGAACTATTGAAAAATAGAGGTAGGGGAATGATGGAAAGTAAATGGTTATGATCTTGATAGATGAGAAAACCTGCAAAAATGGCTAGTATTTATAAATGTTAAAAAGAGTTAAGCTGTGCCCATTTTTAAGTTTTATTTTAAAACTGGTTTTCAGGTGTTTGCCTCATTAATGAAGGATAGCAAAGAAGGAGACAGGAACCATAGTCCAGCACTAAAAAGTTAACTTCCAAGTTCAATTGGAAAAAACCACTTGGTTGTGAAAGAATTCTTCTAAACATCTTCTCAGTGAAAACCACTAAAAACGGCTTCAGAGACTGAAGAAGAAACAGTATTGACTGAACGCAGTGGTGGAATTTGACGGTCCTTATCCTGCTGCCAGTATTAAAGACCTCTTTTGTGGGAAGATACCTTTTCACAGGAAGCAGAACAATAAAGTATGAAACTGAGAAAGTGGCTATCGCATATTTAATATTTAAAGTTGAATGCAATAACATTTGTAATAACTTTTGTTGGTACTTAAAATTTTGAGGGATACCTTTTTTATAATTACCACAAAGGCACTTTTGGGGGCAGGGCTGGTGTTTTAAAGTAAGGCCCCAGAAACTGCTACCTGAACCAAATGTTTTGGTACAAATACCTCCAAAATTACAGATGAAGTCCTTAGGACCAAATCAGGTTTTGTTTTGGTGTACATGCTTGCCCAGGAACAGGAGGCTTTTACGCACGTCTTACAAAACTCCTTTTAAACTGCAGTTTCGCTTTCCAACTAAGTGAACGCATGTAAGCGAATACGGAGGAAACTGCATGCAATTTTGCATATGGAGCCATTGGCAAATAAGTCTTTTGGCTGAAAGGTGGCAGTAACTGTGGGCTTATGTAAGCAGCCAAGGGGGTGTTCAGCGTTTTACATTTTGAAGTACTTTGCTTACAGGAAAATTGGTTTCTAATCCATAAAAAATCATATGAATTTTTTTTAATCAAAGTGACTTATACTTGATAAACACTAGTATAATTAATAAGCTAGTGATAACCCTTTTGCACATTTTACGCAATGTTAATGTTGAAAGTTTTGAGTCCCTGTATATTAAAAGTGTTTTTCTCATTTAAATTTAAAGTTGATTACTGCAGTGTGTACAATAATGAGTACCCAAAACGCATCTTGTTAGTCCATACCCTCTCTTTTAATGTCAGCATCGATACTGTAAAGACAACATGCGGAAGGTCGAACTTCCTTCACACTCCAAAACGTTTTAAAATGGCTTTTGAACTGAGGGGAATGGGAAAGGATACCTCTTAATTTCTCCGAGCAGCTAATGCTTGTTCTTTCTAAGTCCGTTTTGATAGTATTAATGTAAATAAAATTGCCTTTCTTTTTTTCTTTGTACCGGTCCCTGTATGTGCAAATAAAGTCAAATTTATCATTGCATTTAAAAAAATAATAAGTGAGACTGCTTCAGTTGTCAAGTGTTGCAGAGCCTATTTTAAAGATTTGGTTACAGTATATTGTAATATTTATGTTGCTATCAGATGTAAACCACACTTCAATATTACTTATTACAACATTCAAGTTGAAGTTCAGATGTCTGCTTTTTTTTTTCTTATGTATTTACTTGCTTCCGGTATATGTCCTTTACTTGGGTTCTCTTGTACAGTTTTCTTACTTTTCAAGTACAGTATACACATGTATATAAATTGTAAATAGAAGGAATTTAGCCTTCATTCAAAACTACTAGTAACAATTCCTGTGTAAATAAACTTGTAAGCAGAATGAATACTGTCTTCATATCAGTTTGTTCAGCCTTCACGTGTAAAGGAAAATCTTGTGTAGCTTCCCCAATGATCTGCTTCAGTAGTCCAGATATGAGCGCTAAGGTCTTTTTTTCAAAGTTAGGCTTTTAATGAAAGATTATGGTTTGTATCTTCTCAAAGAATCACCACTGACTTTCACACCTATGTATTCAAAGGGCTGGGGATCCTGTGACTCCGTACAAGTTGCTGAACTACAGCTACTGGCCATACTGGTTGAGGCAGTGCGAGTTGTGATTCAGCAGCATCTTCACATACAATCCCCTTTCCTTTGTAAATGAAACAGAGCTAGAATAGAAGAATTCAGAATACCAATCTTAGCTGTCCCTGAAGCTGATTGCAAACCTAAGGGATGGAGAACAATTGACTGGCATATTTGCAATGCCTTATTGAACAGAAGTTCCTACGTAGATGCAGTCTTCTGTTTTTATCCCATGGTTATCATTTTGCATTATCAAACGATAGCACCACAATTTGCTTCTTAGACAAGACAGAGTTAGCAGAGCAGCGATGGGTGCAAATTATTCAGTTTGGTGCAAGAGAATAGTGCCCAAAGTATTGTTATCCTTCCCGAGTCTGAAATCGACCTTTATCGCTGCATATCAGCATAATGAAGCAAAAAGGTTTACTTCTTTTAAACAGTACACTGTATTTTAGAGCAGGGCTGTCAAACTGCCGGCCCAGAGGCCGGCTGCATCATACGGAGGCTGCGCCCACCCCAGATCTGGCAATACAAAAAAAGTCGTGATACGTTGTGACACATCACGTGATGCGGCGAGTTTGACACCCATGTTTTAGAGAGTTGTAAGTCAAGGACTACCTGTATTGTCTGAGCTGTGTCATCACTAAATGAACTGGGATAAGTCGAGGATTACCTGTATTGTCTGAGCTGTGCTAAGCTTGTATTTATTTTTCTGGGCAAGCTCAGTAATTGTGCGTACGTCAGCCTCTTTTGCACATCTCAGATTGTGCATGAGGAAATAATTTCTCAGAGCTTCTGTGATTTGGAGCAATAATTTGATTCCCTGCTTCTATGGCTTTACAGCAAATGCGTTTTTATTTGTAGCAGACCAGGACCAGTTAGTTATAAGATGGATGGCTAAACAGGTAATCCTCAACTTAGGACCACAATAGAGCGCCAAATTTCTATTGCTAAGTGAGATAGTTAAGTGAGTTTTGCCCCATTTTACAGTCTTTCTTGCCACAGTTGCTAAGTGAATCACTGCAGTTGGTAAGTTACTAACATGGTTGCTAAGTGAATCTGGCTTTTCCGTTGGCTTGTCAGAAAATCACAAAAAGTGATCACATGACCCTGGGTCACTGCAAGTCATAAATATGAATCAGTTTCCAAGCATCTGAATTTTGATCACGTGACCGTGGGGACACTGCAACTATCATGAGTGTAAAAAATGGTCAAGTCACTTTTTAGTGCTATTGTAACTTTGAACAGACACTAAATGAACTGTTGTAAGTCGAGGACTATCTGTATAAGGAGTTTAATTGGTATTTCTTGGGAAGGAAGCTAAACGCAGATAGTCCTTGCTTAACAACAGTAACTGTTGTCGATAAATAAATAGTTGTTGCAAATAAATTGAGGCCTACCTATATAAATGTTTTACATAAATCTTGTAGTCTGCCTGAAGCACTTGATCACCTTCGATGATTCCCCTTTCAGAGCTGTTCATCTTGAGCAGCTGTGTATTTACCCCGGTTAGCACAGGCTGGCATTTTGAAACGTTTCAAAAATTACTATTGTTTTCTCTTTGATTTTCTCTCTTGTGAGATTGACCTCCAGAAAAGGGCTGAAGGAGATGGCACTCCAGATCTATTCTGATTGATTGATTGAGGATTTTCCTCCTTTTTATATTTTAATTGCCAAAAAGGGAGCGTCTGGTCGTGCCACGCCACGATCGCAAAGCAGGAGTTGAGACCGGGATGGGAAGAGCCAAAGGCTTCTCAAGCCCCCAGCTTTCCACCCAATGGACTCGACTGAGTAATCTTCTGCAATGCTGCTCCTAGACCGACTCCCGCCGCTCGTCACTCCCGGTTTCTTCGCAGGCTCTGGAGCTGACTTCGGATCCTCCTCTCCGGCAGAGGGCGCTGTGGACAGGGCGGCATTTCCGGCCTGACTAGCGCCAAGATTCCACTTCCGCTGCTTCTCGCGTGCCTGAAGTGAAGTGCTGAGAGAAACGAGGCAGAGCGTTTGCCCTGCTTGGCAGCTGCTATGAAACCGGTAAGAGTGCGAGGACTCGCTGCCGGGATAAATAGCGCGGCCTGCGCCCAATTGGAAGTCGGGGGAAGGGGTTAGGCCGCGTAGCCCTGAGAGTCAAGTGCTGTGCGCGAGTTCTCGGGGATTTAAGTAAAGTGCCCTACTTGCTTAGCTGGACTTCCCTTCCCAGAATCCTTAGAGGGCCTGCAGACGCAATGATTTATGGAAATGAGAGTCCAGCGCGCTTTGAGGGTACAAGATTGGGGGCAAAGAAGAATACAAATGGGCTGGGGTTTGGTTTTAAGCCAGTGTTTCTCAACCTTGACAATTTTAAGGCATGTGGACTTCAACTCCCAGAATTCCACAGCCAGCATTGCTGACTGTGGAATTCTGGGAGTTGAAGTCCACATGCCTTAAAATTTTCAAGGTTGAGAAATACTGTTTTAAGCGTTGTACACGTTGGATAGGAAGATATTTTCTAACGATTGGTTGAGGGGTTTTGGGGGGGGGGAGAAGGTAGAGGGAGGTGTGAATAATAGGAATTCTGATGGAACCTGGGTGGGATGCATTAAAAATATAGAACTCCTTTTCTTGCTTTTTATCAGTTAAAGTGACTTGCTTCAAAAATATTAAATGGGTATTTTATTAAAAAAATAAAATAACCACTGGATAAATATATGGGTATGGCAGTGTTTGTCAACCTTAGCAACTTTAAAATTTGCGGACTTCATCTCCCAGAATTCTCCAGGCAGCCATTCCCTGTGCTGGCTGGGGAATTCTGGCAGATGAAGTCCACACATCTTAAAGTTGCCAAGGTTGACAAACACTGGGATATGGTATTTGCTACACAGGCAGGGGATTTCATTTCATTGCCACAAAAGTGTCCTTATGCATGCCAATGCTGAAAAACCGTGGGGGAATACCTACAAGTTAATCCCATATTTTAATTTTTAGGGTAATAAAAGGGAATAATTTTTGTATGCACGATAAATAATCTTTTTAACTGCGGGTGATTAATTCAATGTAATCTTAATTCAAATTTAGCCCAACCCGCATTTTATTCCACTTACTTATAGAGTGCAACCTTTGTCACTCCAAGACCAAGAGTAAATTTCAGTTCAAAAAGAATTTAATAACCCTGTGTCAATAGAACATTTTTAAAATACTACATTGCAGAATCCTGTATAGGAGGCAGTCTACAAAACATACAACAGAAAGTTGGAAATAAACTTTACCTTTTTTCCTTCACATTTTTTTCCTTTTTTTTCCACTTATATTGGATAATTGCACTGTTAAAAATTATTTCTAGTATAATATTAACTTAGTGTTGCTATTGAATTGATCTTATTGTTTCAAAACTCTGTGCCAATGTGTTGCAGTGAATAAGATGTCGGCCTAGGAGTTGGTTCATAGCCATAGAAGTAGTGAGGAACTCTACAGAATTATTGTTAGGAAACTCAGATAAAGAATAGCTAAATATGCTGCCTTGAGTACATGGAGGAAAAGCAAGATAGAAATCTAACAAATAATTGGTTATTATACATATTCCTTAATGTTTCAAGACTTGAATTAAAATATAAAAGAAAGGAACAAAAAGTTTAAAAAGCATACTAATTTCATCCTTATTGTCTCCAGAGGAGAAATAAAAAAAGAGTTCCAAGTTTTCGAAAGATATTGAAAACAAGTAAAATAAAACTTGAAAACAAGTTAAAAAACAAGCAGCTCAAACAGCAAAGTGCTGTCAAGAAATACCGAAAAGAACAAAGGAAACTCAGACAAGCTGTAAAAGATGCTGTATCTCGGAGGCCAGTGCCTTTGGAAGATCACAAAAAACCTCCAAGTAAGATGTGTGTGTGTGTGTGTGTGTGTGTGTGTGTTTGTGTGTCTCTATATATGTAAGCTATAGAGATATTGTTAAATGTCACTATATTATTGACTCTAAGGATTGTTTAATAAGATTGTTGATTAACATAGGAGTGGGCTATTTGCAGGCTATTTGATCCCTAGAAGCTTTTATGTCACCTACATAAAGGCAACTTGAGGGCAACTCTGAAGGTGACATAAAAGCTTCTAGGGATCAAATAACATGCAAATAGTGCATTTCTATAAAAACAGGATCGCCAACGTCCGATAACGGATATGACACAAGAAGAAGAAGAAGAATCCCAAAGGTGCTCTTCAGTTCAGGACTGAAGAAGCCTTTTAGATGAGAATGAAACATTTTCAAGGAAAAAAACTAAGAAAGTTCAGTTCCCTTTTGAAAAAGCATCTTTGGGACAATCGTGATGCTTGAGAATCTCCACAGACATTTAGCCTACTCCTATCTTAATAGGATCTTAGTATAGATTATAAAAGAGAAGTCCCTGCTTCTCTAAAGCAGGGGTGTCAAACTTGCGGCCCTGATGCGTCACATGCAGGCCACGCCCACCCCGGCCCTGATGCGTCACATGCAGGCCACGCCCACCCCGGCTCTGCAAAGGCAAAAAACATTGCAATACATCACAATACATTATGTGACGCGATCAATTTTAACATCTGTGCTCTAGAGGATGGTAGCTTGAAAATTATCCAAATCAAAGTAGAATAAATCAAGTTTAATTTTGTCTGGGATAATTGTGATTTATAGATTTAATAACCTGCAAATATAACACAAAAAGAATCTATTATTGATACTTATTTCTCATTTTCCTGTAAAACATGAATCTTATTGTTGAATTATTTGTTCATGATCTCAGGGAGGTATACAAATGGAAAATCAATATATTTCCACTTATCTATAGCAGACTTACATATATCTATTTCTGTATCTCTGATTTTTTTTCACTTGTCTCAACAGAGAGGTTGGAGAAAGAGGAAGAGGAAGAAGCACTCCCTCTAGATATGATGGATGAAGATGATATGAAATTAATGGAAGAGTTTGCTCAAACGGCATCTTTTATAACAAGGGACTTGTCTTCCAAGTGGGTGTTGGCAAATCCAAAACTTTGATCTATAGAAAACCTTTCAGTAATTTCTTCTTTATCAATTTTCATTTCACATTCTCTGATGTAAATAAGGTCTAAAATGCAACTAATGTTTTCTGTGTTGATCTTTCAAATTTAGGTTTCGAGGGTTAAGAACTTGACCATATTTTGCTTTTGTGTAGTTAATGTCTGAAATAACAGAAAATATTAGAAAATGTCAGTGAAGCATTAATTATAATAATTGCAAAGTCCTCGTAATGTATTTAGATTTGTTTATAGTTTTGTAACTTATATTGAAAAGTTAATTTTTTTTTCATATTTTTTATGTATTTCTTTTTTTTCTTCTTCTTTTTTGGTATTTATGTTTTTCTTTTTTTTACATATATATTGTTGTTAACTATTTAATAATTTGTTTAAGTAATGTATTTAGATTTATTTATATTTTATACTTTTCTTAAGATTTTTTGAAGAAATTCTAATTAAGCCTATATCCAGCTCTGGGATAGTCGGGGGAGGAAAGGGGAGGGATGGGGAAAACTGTTTTGTTTTTGTATTGTAAAACCTTATAAATTTTCAATAAAAAAAAATAATAATTGCAAAGTCCTCATGAATAAAATCACCGAATTTGGCAAAGCTGTCATTGACAGGGCCCTTAGCCATATTAATGTTTAATGGTAGCATTATGTAGATCAGACATGTCAAACTCGCAACGTCACGTGATGTCGCGTGACGTATTGGAGCTTTTTTCCCATTGCCAGCAATGGGGTGGGCGTGGTTTCCTGGTGACGTGTCCAGCCCGCGGGCTGGCAGTTTGACACCCCTGATGTAAATAGTCCTTCATAGTCAAATTAAGGACCCAAGTAGTTTTAATAGATAAAAATGATTTATATGTGAATTACATTTTGTAGTGAACCAGTTCACGCCAAGAAACGCAAGAATGAAAGTGTGATTGAGAAATATGAGAAGATGCCAAGACGCCTGAAGTCTGAGCCTGAAAAGGAACTGATTCATCTGCTTCCAATCAAAGATAAGCATGGAATTATTCCACAGACCATAGAAAAGCCAGGTCAGATCCAATTAGGATTGCTTTGCAAACTGTCAGTGATAAAATGTGGAATCTTAGGGTTTTTTTTTTAAAAGGGCATGCTCTTTCTTGTAGTTATAAGTACTGAAGAGGAAACAGAAGAGAAAGAAGAAGTAGTTGAAGAAAAAGAAGTGATAGAAGGTAATTAAGAATTGGAAAATAATAATTTGAACAGTTGAAGTATTGATTTCCCCCCCCCCAAGTGTTATTAATATTACTGGAACAGTAATACAGGTAATCCTTGACTTATGACCACAATTAAAACTTCTGTTGCTAAGTGAGACATTTGTTAAGTGAATTTTACCACTTTTTACGACCTTTCTTGTTAAGAATCACTGCAGTTCTTAAGTTAGTAACATGTTGTTAAGTGAATCTGGCTTCGCCATTGATCTTGTTTGTCAAAAGGTTGCAAAAGGTGATCACATGATCCTGGGACACTGCTGCTGTCATAAATATGAGTTGCCAAGAGTCTGGATTTTAATTATGTGACCATGGGGATGCTGCAATGGTCATAAGTGTGAAAAATGGTCATAAGTCACTTTTTTTAGTGCCGTTGTAACTTTGAACAGTCACTAAATAAACTGTTGTAAGTCGAGGACTACTGGTATAAGCAGTTTAATTGATATTTCTTGGGAAGAAAGCTAAACACAGGTAGTCCTTGCTTAACAACAATAATTGGAACCAGCAACTCTCTCCCAGGGATCATGGTTATAAGGCTTGACATCATGTGGCTGTGCCAATAGCACTTGCAGCAGTTCTGGTTACTTCATTAAGCAAATTCTGCATAGTCATTTAGCACAATGTCACATGATCCCACTTGCCACCTCCTGCCAGTTTTCCCATTGACTTTAGCTGTTAGAAGCTGGCAGTGAAGGTCACAGGTAGCAACCACATAGTTGATCATCATAATTGCAAGCTAGTTGCCAAGCATGTGACCACTGTAATGGGTGCAATTATGAGAACTGGTTGTAAGTCTCCTTGTTCAGCATCACTGTAATTTCAATGGTCACTGAACAAATTGTCATTCGGTGAGGACTACCTATAGCTGGACTTTAGACCAAGCAATAGACTACTATTAAACTGCTCCAGATATCAGGCCAGATCTGATGAGAAAATTGATGCTGTTTTCAAAATGAGGCAGATATCTGAACTGTTGTTTGAAAGTAGATATGCAAAAAAAAAAAAAAGTCTAACCATTCCCCCAATATAAAGTTACATGTTTATCTTTACTAGAAGCACTGAGCCAGGGCTGCAACATTCCAGAAAATCATAAGATGGAAGCAGAGAGATCAAAAAGTTCTAAATAATAATCCTTAGATTAACAGCAATAACAGAATATTTCTTCCAAAGCTATCTTTGCCATTTCTAAGTTAAATGTTTCCACACTGGCACATTTGCATATGTTTTTTAAACAGTTAATTGCTGTCTTTATTATCAGCCCTTGAAGATCCCTTATCTGGTCTTACTGTTGAAGAACTATTAGTTCATCGGAAAAAAAAGCTACAGGAGAAGAAGATGCAAATAGCTGCTTTAGCATCTGCAATTTTGTCTGATCCAGAAAATAATGTAAGTAATCCTGGTTTTGGAAATTCCAGGTAAGAGAATGTGAAAAAAGTTAAAATTATGGACAGCTCAAAGTTAAGGTAGAGAAATCAGGTCTTCAATGATTTATATTCAGTTTTCCATGCTGTCATTCTAGACTTTGTGGAAGTTACCATTCATCTAGAAACAATGCTCTTTCTCTAAAGCAGAGGTGTCTGACCTAGGCAATTTTAAGACCTGTGGACTTCAACTCCTTTATGACCTCTGGAATTCTGGGAGTTGAAGTCCACACATCTTAAAGTGCCAGGGCTGAACACCCCTGCTCAAAGAGTATTCATGATCTTATTCTTGGTCACTCTTGCACATTTTAAATTAATACTATTAATTTTGATTACAAATTATTTAAACATTTTTTTAAAAAAAATACTGTCCTCTTGTCAGAAGTTTAATAAAAAATGAAACCTTTTTAACTATCGATCAGTGATTTAAAAAAGCTCTATAGCGAGAAATTTAGAACTGGTGAGCAGAGTTGAAAGATTCTGGGAATTTTTAGAGAGTAGATTGTATGACAGAAAATTATTCCTGGCTACTTGTCTGAAATGCCATCTGGAATACAGTAAGGGAGGAATAGATATGAAGATTTCATTCTAGGCCTCTTTTCTTGTTCTTGGTAGAAAAATTCCTTTCTAATTTGGAAAATGGGTAAAATTTAAACATGCTAATTTTTATTTTTTTAAAAATATATTTTATTAGTTTTATAGTTTTAACAAAAAGTATTTAAGACACACCGTGGTATTTGGGTAAACACAGATTCCGACATAAAAATCACACAATAACAGCTCAACTTAATACATTCGCTATAATCTCTATTTCCCTCAAGTAACATAAGAAATTTAATATATTTCATTTCTATCCTAAATTTCTATTACTACTAAACCTGTTTATTAAACTTTATCAATTTCAATTACCATAATCAAATAATGTTTTACATCAACATATTACCCCTTCAAATATCTCTTGCAAATGTATTCAAGTTCTTAATCTCTCTCATCCTTTTTTAAATCACCAATCTAATTTATTTCTTCTTCCAATAATAACTAATTTAATTTAAAAAAGACAATATTATCATATCAAATCATATTATTATACACATTAAACATTACACATATATATAGTTATAATTTTCTTCTAAGTCTAGATCATTTGACTTAATTCATTTCCATTCATTAAACAAACCAAGTTCCATCCAATTAATTACCATAACAAACATATTATACACAAAAATCTCCTAATTAATTAAACATTTCAAAATTCCAGTCTAAATCAATCTATTATTCCAAAAGATGCATTCTTAGTCTCTATAAAGCCAAGTTTCTTTTTCCATTCCACATTTAACTTTCATATTTCCATACCAAACAAACTTCCATAAAGCAATAAATTCATCAAACTAAATTAAACACACATGAATATAATTGTGGATTTCTTCTAAGTCTAAAGCATTATCCTTAAAACAATCCATAAAACCAACATTGCCTTTTAATCCATTCAACAATTTTTACTAATTTAAACACACATGTATATAATTGCATTTTTCAGCTCTAAATCATTATCCTTAAAGCAATCCATGAAATCAACATTGCCTTTTGCTCCATTAAACATTTTTAAATTTGTTTTTGAGTCTGATTCTGGGTTTCTTTCTATTCCACACCGGCTTCCATAAAGACGCTTCCTTTTCAACCAGTAAATCCATTCTTAATGCTTGTAGTAGTCTTTGAGCAAATGTATGTCCCTTTCTCTGTAGTAAGCATCTTTTTTCTCTTTCAACCAATAAATCAATTCTTATTGCTTGTAATAATCTTTGAGAGAATATAGATCTCTTCCTCTGCAGTAAATGTCTTTTTCTGTTCTCTTTGCAATGTAGTTGCTTTGTATTTTGAAATCTTAGTCTTTGTTTCTTCTGGTTCTCTAATTTGCTGGAGAAGGGATTGTCAGATGAAATAAATTCCACTTCTATCTCTATAAATTCCTCTTCTGGCACATTTTGATTTATGCCATAATCAGTTGTAACCTGGACATCAGTTTGGGCAAATATAGTAGAGTCTCTGGATCTTAATTCTGAAGTACAGTTTTTAAATGTAGCACAAATTTCCGTAGTGGCCTCATAAATCTTTTCCAATATAAGTGCACAATTCAATTGTATCTGAGGTTTCTCCATTTTAATACTAATGCTTAAAAGGAAATCTCCTTTTCTTTTTTGTAGAGGCTTTGTTTAATGTAGAAACATCCACCCCCACAGCTTCACAGGTGCACAGTTTATCTTTAGTTAAACACGCTAATTTTTATGATACAGTGTACGTGAATAGCAGCATTTTCATGTAAAAGCTCAGTGTTGCTAAAATTATACCTATGTAAGTTAACTGGTACAGTGCTAGTTCTTTCCCTAATCTGGATTTTATCATTTTTATCCACTTCCAGTCTGAAAAACCAAATATCAGAGATGGCAGGAGTAGTAACAAATATATCTTGAAATGTTTTGATTGGTAGTGTTGGTGATGGGGTCCCCAAGCTTAGCATATTTTTAATAACAGCATATCTGAACACTTATACGTTAGCCTAAATAGTGACAGGTATATATTCAAAGGTGTGTTGTTTTTGAGCAGATAAGGAAACTGAAAGAGCTGCGTGCAATGTTGATGGAACAAGATCCCAACGTGGCAGTAATTGTGCGAAAATTGGTGATGATTTCTTTGATGGAGCTCTTCAAAGATATTACTCCATCCTACAAAATCAGGCCTTTGACTGAAAGAGAGAAAAACACAAAGGTGAGGTTACACAATGACAAGGACTTAATATTAAAGCTGGGAAGGTTTAAAAAATGCGTTGGGGGAACTACATCCAGATTTTGTTAGAAGTTTGCAATTTGGATTTTAATAGTCGCTTGAATTATTATATCTTGATTTTGGTATCATCACTCATCCCTGTTGATTTATTGAAAGAAAGTCAATCAAATTTGCAGAGATTGCATAATTTCCTAGTGAATAAGAATTTGGAGCTCTACAGATAGTCCTTGATTTACGACCACAATTCAGCCCTAAAATTTCTGTTGTTAAGTGAGACATTTGTTAAATGAGTTTACGACAGTTGTTAAGTGAATCACTGCAGTTAAATTAGTAACACAGTTGTTAAGTGAATCTGACTTCGCCATTTATTTTACTTGTCAAATGATTGTAAAAGATGATCACATGACCTTGAGACACAGCAACCGTCTTAAGTGTGAACCAGTTGCCAAGTATCTGAATTTTGATCCCGTGATCATGGGGATACTACAGAGGTTGTAAGTGTGAAAAATGGTCATAGGTCACTTTTTTCAGTGCCGTTGTAACTTTGAACAGTCACTAAATGAATTATTGTAAGTTGAGGACTACCTGTACTTATTGATGAAAATGGAATTTAAATAAATCCTGATTTTTTTTAGAATTTGCCCAAAGAGTTAGCTACTTGACATAGAAATCCTATTGTAGGATGCTCTTACAATAAATGGATTTAAGCTCAGATTTAAGCTCCAGTAATTTTTATTGGAACTTTTCAAGTTGTACAACATGTGAGAAAAAGGGAATCTAGTTGCTAGGTTTCAGGGAGCTCTTCAGCATAGAATTCAGTATTTTTAATACTAATGTTTTATATTTGGTATAGTTCCCGTGAAATAAATACTTGTCTGAAATCTTGTCCATTAATTCCTTCAGACTTGTGCATTACACTGAGTAGAATACCTACTGCTGAGTCATGTTTTTAAAATGTAAATGGTTGAGTATTACAGTGGATACACGGCAAAATAGTTTTACGTTTCCTTTTTATCTGTAGGTTAAAAAAGAAACTCAGAAATTGAGAGAATTTGAAGAAGGCCTTGTGAGCCAATACAAGTTTTATTTAGAAAATCTGGAACAATGTATAAAAGGTATAACCTGCAGGATGGATCGAGATACAAATAAATGTGTATTTTTTAATAGAATGTCCAGTTAGGAAGCATACCAATTCTTATAAAAGATTAGTCATGCTAAAGTCAGTGAATACATAATATAAAACTATGTTTGCACAAATATTCTCCCTAGTACAATACTGTGTATTCCATCATAGAGAAGAAAAAGAAATCACCCTTTCTGTAAAATAAAAATCGTAATATCTTTGCCTATGTGTTCCTGATTGTATTCCATTTTTAGTCTGTCACTTTTTCTCCATTTCAAGTCTTGGTTTTATTGAAGATTTTACTGTTAAATATCCATAACTCCCCCATAACTCAGAAGACTATGATAATAACGTACAGGTTAATTTACATTCAAGATTTAAATGTTTTGCATTTCTGATATCTGTGAAGAAAATAAAAGAAACGAGTAAAATATGCGCTAGCTTCAGGAATGGTCTCAACTTTGATTTTAAGTTAATGCAAATTAGATATAAGAACAAAAATATTCTTACCATTACATGAAAAGCCACAGTCCTTTTCTGATCTTTTGCTGTATGCTGTTAGCAACTACAATTGGGACCGGCAACTTGGTTGTTAACAAAATGGTCGCTAAGTGAAACATCACAATTTTACAATCTTACTTCAGCTGTTCTCCATTTTACAAGCCTGTGAAGGCCATTATTGCAATGACTGGTCACAAAATAACTTTTTCATCACCACTGAAGGATCACCCAAAAAAGTTGCAGCTTCAGCTCTTTGCTAAGAATTTACTAAATGTCAGTAGTGGGATTTCTGAAAATCAGCACTACAATAAGACTGTCAGCAAAGGGTCTCTGTGTGCATGTATATATGTGCACAGCAGGGTGAGGAAAGTTTTCAGAGTAGTCTCACAAACCTTTCAAGATGATGCAGCTGCTTTTAATGCTCAGAGGTGAAACACTTTGCCAATCACTCTTTTCAAATTTTTTGTACAGCCCTAATTTTCCTCACTTAGTCCATTTGTGTGTGTGTGTGAGTGTCTGTGCGTGTTTGTATAGCAGGGGTCCTCAAACATGGCAACTTTAAGACTGGTGGACTTCAACTGCCAGAATTCCTCAGCCAGCCCTGGCTGGCTGAGGAATTCTGGGAGTTGAAGTCCACCAGTCTTAAAGTTACCAAGTTTAAAGACCCCTGGTGTATAGGTTTGGTGGTGTTAGAAAGTATCAGTATTTACACTTAAGAAACTTACTCAGTTGAACTAAGATGTTTCAAGCAAATTCTGAAGATTAATAATTTTAACAGAGCAATGCTCAGTCTTTCCAATATTCCAGTGAGTTCCTCTCAGGAGAATATCATCCAGTGATGCAGTTCATTGCCTGATTTTCGGGCATTCTCCCCCTCTGCATTACAAACTATTCCATTCCGATTTTGAAATCACACTATCAGTAACAAAGGAATCTGGAAATATTGAAGCTTTGCATAACATTTCCTTTAGATTGGAAGCAGAGGAAGCTGAAGAAGAGTAACGTGATTTCAATAAAGGCCTACAGAGGCCTTGCCGAAATTGCTGTGAAGTGCCTTTGTGAACTCCTGGTGGCCCTGCCTCACTTTAACTTCCACAATAACATCATTGTACTAGTGGTACCACTTATGAACGATGCTTCAAAAAAGGTAACTGCCTGCTCGGCTTAATTTTATACGAAACATGTTGATTTCCAAAGCTAATCCTCCAAACTGGGATTTTAAACCTCATAGATTTCTGAACTGTGTTGTGATGCGGTAAGAAGCCTCTTCAAGCAAGATAAGTTGGGTGTTGCTTCACTTGGTGTGGTGAAGGTCATTTCTGGCCTGGTGAAAAGTCGGAATTATGACGTCAGGCCTGAGGTGAGTTTGTTGGTATGTTCATTTATTCGTTTTTGAGAAAGCATTGACGATGGATTCCCCTGTTTCTATTGAAGTAGCATCAGATCTTCAGTGCTTTGATTGAAGCTTTTGATATATTTATTGCTGTCCTTCGTGAACTACTGGCAAGAATGATAGCTGGGAACTTCTCACAGGTGTCGAACCTTGACAACTTTTATAACACTTGTGAACTCCCAGAATTCCCCACTCAGCCATCCTTGCCAGTAGTTCATGCTGGCTGAGGAATTCTGAGAGTTAAAGTTCACAAGTCTTAAAGTTGTCGAGGTTGGACGCCCCTGCTCTATCTGAAAGAGAGAAATAAGTTTTAATTTCTCATTATTATTTTTTTGTAAAGTCTTGAGTCAATTCCATAATTTGGACCATAATTTTTAGAGCCAACTTCACAACCATTGTTTACTGTGGCCATTAAGCAAATCATTAAATGAATCACAGTTAAGTGAATCTGGTTTCCCCCATTGACTTTGATTGTCAGAAGCCAACTGAGATCCTAAATCATGTGACCGCAAGATGCTGCATCTACCGTAAATGTGAGATAGTTGCCAAGTGCCCAGATTACAATCATACGAGCGTGGGAGTGGTATAATCATAATTTTGAGGCAGGTCATAAGTAACTTTTTTGGCATGTCATAACTTTGAACTATTATTACACAAGTATTTGTAAGTTGTGGACTTCCTGTACACTTTTAATGAGAAATAAATGCATGTGGATTATATTTAGGTTTTAATGGCACTACTTCATCTCAGAATTAAAGAAGTGGAAGTAAAAAAAGATGCAGAAGACATTACACCAAAGAAAAAATTCATGACCTACAAAGACAAAAGGAAAAATCTATCCAGAATGCAAAGAAAGGTATTTTTTTGGTACAGTGAGCAAAAATGTGAGGTAGAATTTGTAACTAATAATATGTCCTGGATTCAGAGCCAAGTTCCACTGGGGACCAAGGGAAGAGTGGCTGCTGAGGGAGAAGACTGGGCATGTTTACATGTACCATAATTGTTTGAAAAAATGTTTTGGATCTCATGATATTGTTGTCCAAATATATAAAATGTAGGGAACCCAATCATTGGTAGTTTAGCCTTGCACATTTTATTAACATCACCCTGCCCCTATTTTTTTTTAAAAATATATTCTTGTATATTTTTGATGGATTTTTAAAAAACTACCCAAACTTATAATACTGAGAAAATGTCAGTATTATTGTAAATTCTCTGTGGGGATTCTCCAGATCAGGAGTGGGTAGAAAGTAGATCCAAATCTACTGGTGATTGGAAAAGTTCAGCAAGGGATTCTGATTCTCAGTTGTTCAAAATTATAAGCAGAAAATGCACACACACACACACACACACACACACACACACACACACACACACCTAAACAATTAAAGCATGTATCTATATTTAAATGGAAGCACCATAGGTATGTTTGGTACTAAAACCTCAAACAGGTCAGAATTATTTCATTCTGACTCAAACATGTGCATAACAATTTGACACCCACGGGGAACATGCAGCCTCAAGCACTTACGCCATTTCTACAAATCATGACAGAAGGGAAGCCTGTCCGATATTTGGGGAATAATCCAATAACTTATTTGTTTATTTATTTACATTGATACCCATTCAGTTTTAGAAGCTCTGGCTGGGTAACATTCAAGTAAAACCTCATCAGAAAACAATAGTAATCATATGGATAAAACTGTCATAATGCAACCCAACAAATCTAAAAAAATAAAATCAGTGAGAATTAGAGCCCTGGTGGCGCAATGGTAAGAATGCAGTACTGCAGGCTACCTCTGCTGACTCCTGGCTGCCAACAGTTTGGCAGTTCGATCCTCACTGGCTCAGGGTTGACTCAGCCTTCCATCCTTCTGAGGTCAGTAAAATGAGGACCCAAATTGTTGGGGGCAATAGACTGACTTTGTAAACTGCGTAGAGAGGCTGTAAAGCACTGTGAAGGATATAAGCCTAAATGCTATTGTTAAATGTGAGATATAGACACTCACCTCTCTGCATGTCTGGCCCAGGGCAAAGTGACAACCATTGTATTCCTGCCTTCCTGACGTGTGTGTGTGTGGGGGGGGGGGGGGGGGTAGGTTTTGGCTGACTTAGTGATGGAGGAATTCAGTGTTATTATGTTCAGAAAAAAATGCCATTGCAGATTGGAAGGTCAGGGATTCAAAATTATTTTTGTTCCAGTTGCCAGAATCTGGTTATCTTCTAAATCATTTGTTCCTTTTCAGTGGAAGAAAGCAGAAGAAAAACTGGAGCGAGAACTGTTGGAAGCTGAAGCCTCTGAAAATACAGAGAAAAAATTGAAACTGGTATCTACATTCTTCATACACTTTACATTTGGGGGGGGGTTCCTTTTGCATTGCACATGAAGTAGGACTGGATTAGGCAAAGTATTTCTTCCAAATTCATTTTCCTCTGTGGCTCATCAGAAATAGAGGATTCAAGTAGACGTGGGAGCCACGCATAGAGACTTAAAGCCTGATATTATACACAGCAGTCCTTGCCTAATGACTCCAATTGGGGCCAGCAACTCTGTCACTGAGCATTGTGGTCACTAAGTGGAAAATCGTGTGACTGACAGGCTTGCCACATCACTTCTCATTCAGTCATTATGCGAATCACTGCAGTCATTAAGAAAGACATCACATGACAACAATTTTGCTATTTTAGTTCTGCATTTTCTGTTAATTCTGCTTGTTGGAAGCCAGTGGCGAAATGCCTAAATAGTGAGTACTTGACCATTGGACACTGCAGTGGTGATAAATGTGAAGACTGCTCACAAAACTGTTGAGTGGTCACTAAATGAAGCAGTCAATAAGCGAGGGCTACCTATAGTAAATGGGTTCATATCTCATTGTAGCATTGGTATTCTTCAGAAATTTAGCGAATCCAAGTATACAGTAATAGACAGTTACTTACGTTTGAGCTAATAAACAGCTTTTTATTTACTAATGTGATTACATTAATAGAGGTTGTGTCATAGCTACAATTGCTGTTAGCTCAGAATGGTATAAAGCTATAATGTTTCTGGCTATAATGTTTCTAATTATAATTAGACAGTTTATTGAAAAGCCAGGTATTTTTAACAATATTTTATGATTAATAGCTTCTAAATTGATGCATGAAGAACAAAATATCTGATTAAAATGAAATCATTTAGGTTCATGTATCATTTTATGCCTTTTTATTATAGCATACAGAAACGTTGGATATTGTATTTTTGACTTATTTCCGAATCTTGAAAAAAGCTCAGAAATCTCCTCTTGTGCCTGCTGTGCTGGAAGGTCTTGCAAAGTAAGTATTTCAGAATAATTTTGAGATTTCTTTTTTTTTAATTAAAATAAAATAAAAAGAAATCTAGGGACTACATGCTAAGACATATGCTTACATTATAAATATATCAGTCATTTACGATATTCTTTAAAATGAAATAGCATGACATAAAAACATTTGAAATATTTAGTTGACTAATAGTTCTGTAGCTACTTTATGTTTTATCTTTTGTTATCAATATGAATTTTGGGAGTTTTCAAAATTCCTCCTAGTGAGTGAAATGGAGCCTTATTCCTTGCCATGTGCAATTATTTAGGAATGAAAGCAATGCTACAAAAACAGGACTAAGGGGCAGTCTTAAGTTTTGACCTCTCCAAATAAAATAAATAGAAACAAACAACACCAAAGTTTTGTGGATGAATCCTGCCTAAAATCAAGTTACTTTCATTTAGATTTGCCCATCTCATAAACTTGGAATTTTTTGATGATCTTCTGATGGTCCTCCATTCCCTTATTGTGTCTGAGGTAAGTTTACTGCTTTCTGATTAAACGAGCAGCCTTTATTCTGTGTCAGAAGGAACCTGCAATCTGCTGCTTGCCATAGCCTGTGTGGGCCCACATTTGCTTTATAAGGCTCCATCTTCAGATTCTCTCTTACTGCTACAGCTGTAAGAAAACAAAACCAGTGTTTAGAGCAGGATTTTCTCTCCTCTCAACTCAAAGCAAAAAAACCCTCAGCCCTGGAGGGCAGGGTTGGACATAGGAAAATTGTGGACGGACAGATACTTAAATGGGAATGGAAAGGAAATGCCTGCAGTTTGGCTGTAAGAGTCCCCACCTCCCACCCCTCAACTGTGGTCATAGAGCCCTTACAATTCACCTTTGGCCTTTTCAGGTGTTAAACCATAGAGAGAGCCTGCACTGTATCCTCTCAGCATTTCACATTTTGTCTGGGCAAGGTAAGGGATTTGATTTCATATTGGCTTTTATGATCAGCTTGAAGTGATACAATTCCATAGTTCAGCCTGAGAAATTAGAGAGTTGTTAATTTTGTGTCAAAAGTCTCTTTAAGACAGTTTGTAAGAAGACAACGAGACTATTTTCATCTGAAACTAAGCTAGGATCACTGATTTTGTTGCCTGTTTTTTTTTTTCCTATCTGCTTTTACATTTGTAACTAAAATAACTTAGCAACATCTCGACCAATTTCCAAGATTTGCATTTACAGGAACTCCTCAGTTAAAAGTACCGTAATTGGGACAGCTGTAAATAGAACAGCTTGCCTTCAGAAATTGTGGGCACTCCATCAGTGGAGATTTTAAAGAAGAGACTAGTCACTTGTCTGAAATGGTATAGGTTCTCCTGCTTGAGCAGGGGGCTGGACTAGAAGACCTCAAAGGTCCCCCCCAGCTCTTTTCTATTCTAATTTTGGGAGAGGCAACTGTGTCATTAAGTGCATGGTTGTAAATCAACATATCACATAACTTTGCCAACTTTACACTGGTAGTTCAGGATATGGTTAGGCAAATCACATATAGTCATTAAGCACAACATCATCTCGCTGCAATTTGCGACTTCCTGCCAGTTTCCCCATTGATCTTGATGGAACCCTGCGGTAAAGTTGACAAATGGCATTCACGTGACTGTCATAATTGCGCACCAATTGCCAAGCACCCAAATTGTGATCACATGATTACAGGGACACTGGTAGACATAACTACAGGGACCCATCATAAGCTCCCCTCACTCATTGGCATCATAACTTCAAATAATTTAGTGGTCACTAAATGATGACTACCTGCATACCAAAAAGAAATCAATTCTCATAGAAGGTAAGGCTTTTAATGTGAGGACTGGAGAAACCAAATGCATCACTGGATTTTCAGAAATAAAAACCTACTTAACTGGAATTATTTTCAATAGGTGATGTCCTTAATATTGATCCCTTGAAGTTCTACACTCATCTTTACAAGACATTATTTAAAATACACGCAGGTAATTCCTGATTTCAATGGATTGAATATAACATAGACTATTATCTGAATATATAGAAATGGATGCTTTTTAACTACCCAGATTTGTTTCATTGAATTCTTCCAATATTTAAAGCTGAATGAAGTTTGAATGACATGTTTGAGTGACATCTGCCCCTTTTATAGCAGATGGATTGGGAGTCTCAGTAGCTTTCAGACATTACTGCAGCTCATCAACAAAGAAACGAAATCTCGATGTAAATCCACATGGGATTCTACAGGGCACCATCTTTAGCCAAGTGAAGCTTAACTGATTAAAGAAAGGGTAGTAGAACTGTAGCTTTTCAACTTTTGAGGCTATTATTGAGATTTTCGTTTTGTGTTCAAGGAGCTACAAATGAAGATGCAGAAATAGTGTTACAGTGTCTGGATATGATGCTCACCAAGCGTAGAAAACAGGTGACCCAGCAGAGGGCGCTTGCTTTCATTAAGCGTCTTTCCACCATGGCACTCCAGGTCCTTCCGAACTCCAGTATTGGAATCTTGGCAACCAACAGAACATTAATGTATGTAAGTTCATAGTAGCATAGCTATGGGTGCAATGCAACGTGCTGTTCCATCCACTTTCTTGCAAGGAGGCACTATCTCATTATTAGGAGCTGTGGTGGCGTAGTGGTTAGAATGCATCATTGCAGGCTAATTCAGCTAATTCACTGCCAGGAGTTCAATCCTGACCAGCTCAAGGTTGACTGAGCCTTCCATCCTTCCGAGGTTGGTAAAACGAGGACCCAGATTTTGGGGGGCAATATGCTGACTCTGTAAAGTGCTTAGAGAGGGCTGCAAAGCACTCTGAAGCGGTATATAGGTTTAAGTGCTATTGCTGTTGTGTTGTTCTCCCTGCTTCCCTATTTATGTCTTCCGTTTTCCTTAGTCTTCTGGGTAACTGTATACCTTAAGTATTAATTATATGTAATGTAAATGTGTAGAGAAAATACGCTCATTGGATCACTCTCTTATTTAAGGAAGCAGACCATATCTTCCCAGTGGAGAAATTATATATTTTATTTATTTATCAAATTTATATAGCCATCCATGTCATCAAAAAATGGTAGAGGGACCAGTATGAACATGCAGTGGCTTTTATAATGCTGACGCCTCCAGAAATTATGAAATGAGAAACTTGAAAATCAATCTGCTGATGATAGTCAACATTCAACCCATGAGCTCCTTTTCACTGGATTACACCATCTGAGGAGATTTAAGGAGGAGATCATAGGCTGAATAAGAATGCACACATGAAATCTTGGAGTTAGCATTCTTTTATTCTTTCCTTTAGCAGCAAGATGCATAGGGGCTGAGGGGTTATTGCTTTTTACTGTTTTTACATTGGGTTTTTATCCTTGTAAGCTGCCCAGAGTCGTTCAGAGTGAGTTGGGTGGCCATATGAATTTTCTTAAACAAATAAAACGTGGAAGCAGTATATCATCCGCTGTTGCTCCTGGAAGATTGTGTCTCTTACCTCCTTAGGCTGAGGTCTGCCTGCTGGGGCTGCTGTAACAAAATGCCAGCCTCTATTATATTCTCAACTCAAGTAACTATTGTAATACAGTAAGTGTTAGATGGGATTGTAGCAAGGAGAAAAATGAGAGTATATTTATTGTTGGAAGACAAAATACAATGCCAGTTATAAACCGAGTTTGGTATATTTTAATAGCTGCAGTTGATAGATGGTGGTTCTGCTTTAAATTGTCCTTGTAATTTCATGTGTTCTTTTTTGTTGCATCTTCATAGGTGCTCAATGTTTTGTATTAATAAGATATAAATAAATAAGCCTGCAATGTACAAAATAATTACTCTTTATGAGGTAGAAAAATCTATTTCAATAGCTAACATACTGTAGACCAGGGATATCCAATTTTGACAACTTTTATGACCTGTGGACTTCAACTCCCAGAATTTATGGTTGGCAAAGTCTTAAAGTTGCCAAGGTTGGATAGTCCCGCTGTGGACCATATGTACAATAGAGATTCTGTATTAAGAATTAAGTACTCACTTGGGGGATAAATTATTTTATTCTTTGAAATGATCAAGACATCTTGTAATTTTTTTGTGGGACTCTTTTTTTTTTCCAACAAACTTCATTGCAGATTTTCCCCAAAACGGACCTTCTTTTAGACAATGAATCGCAAGGGAGTGGTGTTTATCTGCCCGAACTGGATCAGCCAGAATACTGTAATGCTCAGAACTCAGCCCTCTGGGAGTTGCATTCCCTCTTGGTGAGAACCACAAAGGCTTACATTTTGTAGCTTTGTTCTTGATTTCTAGTGTAGTAACCCTGTTTTCTTTGTCTGAAGAGTTTTATTTTCCTCCCGAGTTAGAACATGAAGAAATGAGTTTACGAATTTTATGTACTACTTTCAACCTGTAATAGTAATACTAATGTAATAATGTTTTTTAGTTTTCAGAATCCTGACTAGCTTACATATATTTTTACTCCATTTCATCAGTCTTTTTTTAAATTAAAAACTTTCCTGGTTGCTGTTATTTTTCAACAACTGCCTGTTTTCAGATTACCTTGGCCAAGTAATTTATTTAGGCTGAACAATGGTTTAAGATTACCTAGCCTTATTGTTTTAATCAGTTGCTTTTAACTGTTAAATAATGTTTATGAGCAACAAAGATGATTAGGGGACTGGAGGCTAAAACATATAAGGAACAGTTGCTGGAATTGGGTATGTCTAGTTTAACGAAGAGAAGGACAAGGGGGGACATGATAGCAGTGTTCCAATATCTCAGGGGCTGCCACAAAGAAGAGGGAATCAAGCTATTTTCCAAAGCGCCTGAAGGCAGGACAAGAAATAACGGATGGAAACTAACCGAAGAGAGAAGCAACCTAGAACTAAGGAGAAACTTCCTGACAATGAGAACAATTAACCAGTGGAACAACCTGCCTCCAGAAGCGGTGAATGCTCCAACACTGGAAGTTTTTAAGAAGAGACTGGACAGCCACTTGTCTGAAATGGTATAGGGTTTCCTGCCTGTGCAGGGTGTTGAACTAGATGACCTCCAAGGTCCCTTCCAACTTTGTTGTTGTTGTTGTTGTTGTTGTTGTTGTTGTTGTTGTTGTTGTTGTTATTATTATTATTATTATTATTATTATTATTATTATTAACTCTTAAGAGAAATAAATCAGGATAAGTGCATTGATACAAGAAAATGTGAAGCATCTCAGTCTGCTGTGACTTCTCCTGTTTTCAGAGACATTATCATCCAGTTGTTCAGAAATTCGCAGCTCATCTTCTGGCAGGAGCTCCAGCTGAAGGATCAGAAGCTCTTGGGCATGAGCTTGGCCGGAGGTGAGAGAACATTCTGTGCAGAGTCCACAAACAAGCCAGCATCACTTTTATCATCAAATGATATTCAGTAATATACTACCGGTATCTCTAGTCCTGCAGGCTTTATGTGGCTGTTGTGACCAATGGCTGGTCATCAAAAGATGTGTTTTCTATATTAATTTCAAGAAGAAAATAATATTTTAATTCATTCTTACCCTTAATGGAAAATAAAAGAATTTTAGAAATTACCTTGTATTTCAGTACCCGGAATTGTACTTCTGCAGTTATCTGAAGGCCAAAGGTTCCTTCTGGTTTAAGTCTAGAGAACTCTGTAGATTTCTGGCCTAGATTCTTTTATTATTAAGGCCTATTATTGCTTTGTTTTTTTCAAAACTTGTTGAATTTTACAATAATGTTTGGAAATAATGGAAATTATATATTGCTATGTATCATAGGTCACCTACTGAACTTTTTGAGGCCTACAGTATGAAAGATATGACTTTTGATCCTTCTATTCCATCAGTTGCACGTAGGAAAAAGGTACTTCTTCACAAATTTATTTCTTAAAATATGGAACATTACCATAAGGCAGGGGTGTCAAACTCAATTTCATTGAGGGCCACATCAGCATTGCAGTTGCCCTCAGGGGCGAGTGGGTGTGGCCTACTGGGTGGGTGTGGCCAGCTCTACATCGTTCGCGTCAAGGGTGCCTGTGGGGGCCTGGGCAGGAGTGGGATAGATCTGAGGGTCTCTGGCAGAAGGGGGTGGGACAGGGCAAATGCCAAGGCATGATCCACTGGAGGAGCCTCACTGTTTCTCTCAGGCCATGCGGGGGGGGGGGGTGCTTATGGAGCTAAGACTGAATGCGTTTCAGCATAGATGGCCACCATAAAATTGTACATTGGCTCCTGGCCCAGGGCCAAGGCAGAGGGGGCCGTTCCCTCACTGTTTCCAGGATGGCTTCGCGGGCCGCATCCGGCCCAAGGGCCTTGTGTTTGACATGTCTGCAATAAGGTTTATAACTGTTTACTTTCAATTTTTTATGATTGTATGCTTCTTTGTTTCAGAGTAAATTTTTACAAGGTGATTTATTTCTGAATGAGAACGTGACTAAATTGATTAAATTTCATCTTGAAAAGCCTGGTTTACAAGTACCCCTGGATTTTGCTGAAGACATAAAGAAATTTCCAGCATCATAACTATATTATAGGCTTATTCAGCCTGTTTGAAAATACTAGACCTATGAAAAAGTGACCTGTTCCATTGAACCTTAATTATTCAGAATACAGAAGCATGATAGAAGAGTGTTTTTGTAATTCCTAGAATATTTAAAGTAAATTCTTTAAAAATTCAGAAATGATGACTTCACACTGACGGCTAAAGTTAGGAATTTCTAATTTATTCAAACTTGCATTTGTAAAACCAATTGTATAGTATTCTCAGTGCAAAATAATGCCTTTTTCCATAACTGTATAAACATGGTTGATTCCTAGAATTTTTTAATTATAAATACAGAAATTTCTTTTTCAAAAAAAATGACTGGACTAATTTGTTCTAACTCATAATTTTATTTGACTGGTATAAGCAGAGTTTGAACAGATGTTTAAAAAACAAAAATGTAAAGTTTTCCACTCTCTTACACACTGTATTCATTTTTTCCCATCATTACATTCATTTAGATCAGTGGTTCTCAACCTATGGGTCGGGACCCCATTTGGGGGTCGAACGACCATTTCACGGGGGTCGCCAAACAACGCAGTCCGCCATTTTTCCCCCTTTTCCTTAGCTGTGCTACTCCCTTTTATTCTATTGGCTTTTGAAAGCCAATAGAATAGACTCTCTTGAATAGAGTCTAATTCTATTGGCTTTCAAAAGCCAATAGGAATTGTCCAGGCTGTCTCTGCCCTGCTGAGCCCGCCAAAAGTCCCATTCTGCAAACGGTGCTGCACCAGTTGAGTAGTCCTCGACTTACGACCGGTTGAGTAGTCCTCGACTTACGACCAGTTGGGGGGTCACGGCATTAAAAAGGTTGAGAACCACTGATTTAGATAGATGCATTTCATCCGTTGAGATGGTGGAAAAAGAAAAGTATTTATGAAATAAAATATTATCTGACCAAATACTTGATTTGGCACAAGGCAGAGTCAAACATAGTGTTCATGTGTCAGGATACATTGACATATTCAAAGCACATTTTGGGTAACTTCAGAACAGACAGTCTTTGCATCCACTGAATATACCTGCCCCAGGTCTGACTGAAGAATTAAACCATCCACTTTGAGATGGTTTGCAGACCTGTTTCCTGTTACCCATCAAAAAAAATGAAGTATGGAAAAACCCTTAGTTAGGTTTTGCATGTTGTTAGAGACTGGAACAACCCCATGCTTTCCCTAAAGCAAACAAAATGTAATCCGTAACGAGAAATACAGCCGTGGTTTCCAAAAATGAAAACATTTCCCCAGATAGCCTCCAGGGAGTATGCCGATGCTTGCCAACTTTACTTGCTTTATCTATAGCCACTCTCTTAAGAACATTCAGCGGGTGCATCAAAGCACCTGCTCTCTATTAACCTGGGGAAAAGTTCCCCAAGCCTTCTCCCCACGCCCTGCAGAAGTCAAAAATCTCCTGCATTTCAGTCCTAGACCACACTTTAACCCAGGAGTTCTCAAAAGAAATGCATATTTGATCACGTCTTCCAACTAAGGAACGTACAGAGTTGTCCAAGGAATAAATATACTGCTTCCTAAAACATGTAAGTTTTCTCACATTTTCTTGACTGTTACCAGTCGAGACCAATAGACTACCAGTAGACTGATCATCTCAGGCTTTTCTCTTTTAAAAGAGAAAGATTTAATGGTACACTGCTTGACTTCACTAGCCTAGTCACTTTTATGCACAGAACTATTGCATGTCGTGCTGGACCTCTCCTGCCTGGAACTGTTGTCCCTGCACTACTGTGGTAGGCCTCTGTTTGGACAGAAGTCTAGACCCATGGCTAAGCCCATAAGCTTCACCGCTGGAACCCACACCACTGAGAGGACAGATAGGACTTAACCACATCTCTGTAGGCTTTATGACAGCCCTATAAAGCTTCTGAAGTCCAAATGACAGACACATGGGATGCCCTGGTCCAATGAATATTCCTCCCTCTGGGGCAGACACATGTGCCCAGCCTGCATATATCTTTCAGGGCCTCCAATAACTATCTTTGTCATCTGCATTCTAGTGGCATCCAGGTTGGCACAGCCACATTCAAAAGTGCTAGGAGTGTGATGGGTGCACCAGGCACAAAATGGAAGACCACTCAGCTTGACTAGTCCTTCCAATTTGGCATCCCTTAGCTCCACAAGCCACTGATTTTGCTTGATCAGTATTACAAGACCACTAACGTGATATCATAGTGGACACGTGAGCGGCCCAATAGCCAGTGTCCACCCTACTTTTGGTTCACATAATGTTTGACCTTGAAATTGATCCTGCCTCACTTTCCATACCATCTACTTCTCCTTATTGTCTCATGCAACAGTGTATCTGGCTGGCCCTCCATAAACGCTCCAGCTGTAGTTTCTTGGTCTGTTGAAACATCAAACAGGAGTAGAAAGATACAGATAAGAAACATGATTTGTTCTCTATTTCCGTTTGTGTTGGTGTCTTGTAAATTGAGATTAATTTTCTCTTGATTTTTGTACAAGTATAGCCACAACCCTATTTTATTTATAGAATAATAAGGTTCTCCTATCACTGGTTTATTTATTTTCAAAGCTCTTCTCTTCCTTTGAAGCTTCCACTTTAAACATATAAATAAAACATTGTTTGCAATCCGCACTTGGTCTATAATGATTGGAACAAGTGCTGAACTATGTATTATTTTAAAGGCAATGTATTAAAGAAGCTGCCCCTGGATCAGTAAGAACTCACAGAGAGTAAAATAAGTGCTGTTTTAACAAAAACATATGCTTAGGGCAAAAGGGCCTCTTACAGGTCAAACAATAAAATACTGTACAGAATTTAGCAAGGGTATGATCAAAAGGGTCAAGATAGCCATGATGATGCAATTGAAGCTCTGGCTAGTTTTTATGTTGGGTGTAATATAGTTGAGCATCTGGAAGCAATTTTTTTTTTTACTTTCACAAATTTACATAATACTACCAACATCTATAGAAGTTTACCTAAGAAACAAATAATGATTTCCTAAAGACAACTGAAAATGTCTATAATAAGGATACAATGCATACATGAAATGCACTTCATTTTTTTGATCCAATAAGCTGGATTTTAATTGTGTTGAAATTATGGAAGAATTTAAGCAATTTGAATAGCAATAAAGGCTTTAACCAGACCTATGTATTTTTTTTTCTGTTGGGGATTCTTTGTAACTCATGACATTTTTGATCTTGTAGTTTCCTGTGGCTTGATTATAAATGCAACTTACTGTATTTGTTTTGGGGGCTTGCCTATGGCATGTTACTGAAGATGTCCATGCAAGCTTGATCTGCCTTTGCAAACCCATCATAAATTTTGGAGACTGAATTATTCCGGTGTCCTGCTTGAGTCAAGAATGAACTTCTGTTGTTCCCGAGGCCAAGTGAGAAGAGCCCAAAACCTGTATATTATAATCAAGAGGACGATGAATTTAGAAGGTCTTCAATACACTTATCAATCAATAAGTAAAAGAATTTCTCCCCTCATGACACTACAGCCAACCCAATGGTCTTCTGCTGCACAGAGCTGATTAATGAAATGCTGAAATATGAAATGGAGGCAAATAATTATGAGATAGAACTACTCCATAAGCCTGCTGGTCCAGAATGGATATTTTCCAATGTTTCTGCTTTCTCACTGATTGCATCAACATCAGCATTGCTGGTTTCTTTTGAGTTGGGGAAATATAATTATCAGCAAGGCAGCTTCCAATACATGTCTTGTTTCTCCACGCCTACCAAAGGGAAACTTTGTAAGTAAAAGTTTTCTGTGCAAGGCTGTCCACAGCATCAAAAGCTAAGATTTTGTCAGCCCTTCAAGACAGTCAGGACAAGAAGCTCAAACCATGACTAAGACTAAGACTTACTCCGAAAGAGCACTTCCCCTCTTGCTTTACTTTCCAGGAAACTAGAAAGGGTCCCTTTTGAAAAGATTTCCATATCCCTTTTTCTTCTGTAGGCTGAGGTATCTTTTGCATGATGGTTATCTAATCTGCAGCTCTTCCTCCTGACTCCCAAGGCCATTCCCACATGCCGTTACAGATTTTATCCAGCTAACAAGAGAGGCATCACAACGTTGCAATACACCTTGTCCCTTGTGTACTTAACTATGATGTGGCAATGACAAATGAAAAAGTCAGAGGTCTCATCATAATGCATGCTTCATAATTCCTCCCTGCCCGGCTCTCTCTCCAAAATGTCCATTGGCCCAAAGCCACAATTCTATTTCTCAGTGGCTGGAAATATCCCCAATAGATATTTTAAAGAGAAAAAAGAGTAAATAAAATGCAAACTTTGTGTCTACATCCAGTGTGTACTGATCCAACCAAGCTATAATCCCTGACCTTTCTAAAGCAAGTACTTATTTGTGAACCCCTAAATGCACAAAAACAAATACGTTTCTGCTTCAGATTTTTTCTTCGAATAATGCATTCATTTTCTCTCTGAGGGACAAATTGTGTTTAGTCTAGGATATGGACAAAAATAAACAAGAGTCTTTTATGGATTTAAGTATTAAATTTTTCCACATTAACTACAAAAAGTTAGTATATAGCTATTAGCTCACTGTGTTTCTATCTTTCAAAATAGCTCTTTGGTGCTTCTTCATTGACAGGTAGAATCTTTTTGTCCCAGAGGTGAACAATATGTTTTGCAAACATGAGAACAAAGCTTTGTAGCATGTCCAATCTGATTATAACTTTACATTCCATTCAGGTACAAATTGGGTATTTTGTGTCCTTTTAACTCCAGTTAAGCAAACAGGCTCAGTTCTTGGTTTATTCATTCAAGTTCAGTCTGTTGAACTGCAGGTATACTGTGTTGCTCAAAGTTTCACATAGCCTATTTTGACAGGTTTACACTGCAATCCTAGACAAGTTTTTAAAAAAAAATTAAGCCTGGTTAAACACAAAGGAAATTAAACCCGAGTAATGAATATGCGATTGCAGCCTTCAGATGTGTTATGGCTCTAAACTGTAAAGCACATTTGCTACCACTTTTAATCTGTTTTCTATCAGGTGGCACAAAACTTCAGATTCAAAAGAAAGAAAAAAAAAAGGGGGGGGGGGATAAACCAAGCTACAGCATATGATAACTCCTCCTTCTTTTCCTTAGCAGCCATTCTAAATCAGCACTGCATTAAGGAGATGAAGTGGGGGGGGGCATTCTTATCCCTGCCTCCACTGGAGAACCACATGGCCTGTAAACCCCTACTGTAAACATCCTATTATTTTTGGATAGTTATAATATATAGGCAAAAGGAAAATATCTAATAAATGTTAGTAGTTTTATAAAATATATTCAAAAACCTGTGATTTTATAAAAATAGGTAATTAT